CGAGGCCTACCAGCAAGTTGCTATCTGAAAACTGTAACAGCGTGCCATTCTCTCAAACTCATTTCTTTCGGCGTGATATGCTCTGGGAATATGGTTTTAACATGCAGCTGCTCACAGTATTGTGTCAGGGAGGTTAAGGTTAGCAGTGGCCAGGAGCACACCTACCGTTGGCTGCCGCTCATACCTCCCGCAGAACTGAGGCTTCTTACTGGAGGGGCCTGGCTGTGCAGCCTAAAGGCATTGCAGCCAGCCAACGGCGAGCCTTGTGCACTTGTCTTGGTATTCGTGGCAGCTTCAGTGACACCTTGAAGAAGTTAAGTAGCTGGTGTGTTGGTGCTTGTTAAGTTCTAGTAGGCCATTTTGTGCTGTGACATAGGAAGACTTGTGACTGGCCAGCATTGGGTGCACGACTGGTACTGTGTTCAGGGCAGTCTGTGGTTTTATGATTGTGGTTTTGAGGCACTTTCTAAATTCTAGCCTATGGAGTAGCATCCTATTAGAAAATATGGGGAGCTGTTTGGTGATGTGGTTTGCACCTTGCACTCTGATACCTGCAGTGCCAGACTCAGACTCACAGGGGAGGGGTGGGCTGCAGGCAGGGACTGGCCCTTTGCTGCAGCCGCTACTCCTGGATGTGCCATAGTTCATGACCCCCACTGACCAGCCAGTATGTTTAAGCTGCGAGGACTGCCTGGTTTGACTTTGCGAGCTCTGCATCCCTGGAGCAGTGTTCGGTTCCTGCAGGCTGGGCAGTTGGCACCCATGTGCAGTGCTAGTGGCTCACAGATGGTACTGTTGTCGGGTAGTGCCACCGGAACAGAAGCCCAGGACTTACTACTTGATGGGAGGACCCTTCCTGGGAAGGGAATGAAACCACAGCAGGACTGCAAGTCCTTGCTAACGGGCGGCCATCGGGGAGTCAGGAACAACCAGCAAGGGCTAGGTGTGGCCTGCGTGGTGGCTGCTCCCATCATCATGGTGCCAGAGGTCAGGCTGTTGGAGTTGAATCTGCAGCCATGGCTTTCCTTTTCAGAGAAGACTAAGGTGGCCTCCTGCCCATATTGGTTCTTGCTGTACTTCACCATTGCCAGCCAACAAACGAGGTCTCATTAGGGCCCCTGGTCGGTGTCCCATTGTGTCTCTCCACCCCCACCATGGGTTGTCCTCTGGGATCACCTCTAGAGGGCGTTGTGTCTAGGGAACAAGGGCAGCCCTGTGGCTGGAGCCCAGGTCCTGGGGGTGACATGGTGCCCTTGCTGTGGAACCAGACTCGCTTATGCAGGGGTCAAGTCCCTTCAGTGTGTGTTCAGTGTTCCCTTAGTTTCAGAGCCCAGTGGCTTAGGGTGACAGCACATATCACTATCCCACAGGCTCTGGGTCAGGACTATGGCAGGGGAGTGACTGGGGACTAATGCAGCTGACCAGAGTCTCCCCACATAGCTTTGGTAGGGACCTCCTTTTCCACCACGGGCTGCGTGAGCATCCACACAGCACAGCTGCCCACTTCCCAGAGAGAACCAGGAAGCAGGGTGTGCACTGGCTGTGAAGTCATGCTGGTATTGTGGCCTTCTGTGCTGCTGCAGAACTCAGTCACAGGTGTGTGAGCCAGGAGGCAGGAGTCCATCTCATCCATTTGGGCTGCTATAACAAAAGCACAGTGGGAATCTGTGTCTCACAGTTCTGGTGGCTAAGTCCAAGATCAAGGTGCTGGCAGGCTTGGTGTCTGTTGAGGGCCACTTCTGCGTCATGGCTGGTACCTTCTCCTGTGTCCTCACATAGGGAAGGGTGAGGCAGCTCTCTGGGGTCCTTTCACAGTAGCACTGCTGCACCTCATGGCATCCCGGCTCCTCTTCCCAGTACTTCTGCCTTGGTGTTTGTATTCAGTATATGAAGATGCCCCCATCCTCATACACATGCATAGCCCTCCTGGAGGCCAAATGCCTTGGCCATGTCTCAGTGGTTAGGGTGACGGTTTAGGGGTAACAAACTGCCCATCAAGGCCAGCCTCCACGGTGCTGGCTTGTTGCAAACTTTCCATCAGTGTTTTTCAGATTATCTGCGAACAAGAACTCTGGTGGCTTTGTTTTCTAATTTCCTTTATGGAAAGGAGAGCTTGCGTTTCCTTTGTGATTTTGACACTTGTTATGAAAGACATGGCGCTGTGGGGTAAGTGTGGCCAACCTGCCATCACCACAGAGCCTGCTGCCGGCTTCCTGGCAGGTCAGACTTCCTATCTTCTAAGTCTGTGTCCTTCCTTAAAACTGGGACTGAGACTACAGGCAGGTGTAAGCTTACCTGTTGCTGTAAAGAGCAGGTCTGTTTTGGAGGCAGCAAATGCCTTGAAGCCAGTGCCTTTCAGCTGAGGGCAATTTTGCAGCATTAGGAGATAGTTTTTTGTCACAATGAGGTGGGGAGCCAGTGTTACAGGGATGCTACTGAAATCTTGCAGAGAAGGATGGAACCTCAGAGCCAGAGCTGTGAGGAGGCTACTCCTATGTTGATGTGGCTGATTCTCCCTCAAAGCCAAAGAGTGGGAACCCGGGGTACATCAGGTCTCCATTCAGACCTTCTGGTCTGTGGTTTGGGAGTCAGAAAGCTGAGCTGACAACTCTTCTATGCTAGTGTCTTTTGGAGTGCAAGTGGCAGAGACGTTCAGGGAGCATAAATGAGCTGGAGGACTTCATTCTCTGGCTTTGGGGACAGAATGATATGGGTTTGCAGGCGGCTGGAGCCATAGTTGAGAAAAGGTCAGGTCTGGCTGTAGGCCACCTTATACTTCTGGACACATGTATTGGACTCCACTCACCTGACCTTGACCAGTGCACCGCCTGGTGTTAACCACCTGCCTCTGGCCAGCCAGCCTGATGTGCTTGGTGTTGTCTCCATCCCTAACCTGACCTCAGCACAGCCTGGCTTTAAACCCCTGCTTGTCACCTCTTAGTGTTCCCCCAGGGCTTCACAGCCTTCCCATCCTCCTGGCCTGGTCCTCCAGGACTTTAACTCCTGACATTATGCATCCGGTCTGATTCCATGGCGCTACCATGCTTACCTCACTCACCTGGCTTTGGCTTTGGCCACCTTCTTAGCATGGCCCGTGGGGCACTGATCTGGCTCTGTTCTGACCTTATAGTCTGGTCTCACCTTTTCACCTAGGCTTGTCCTCAAGGCCTTTCCCTGATGGCTTAAGTCCCAACCTGACTTTTGGGCCTTCCTCTGTTGGCATCAACACCTGGCCTAATCTCCATGACTTCCTCTGTGGTCTGTAACCTGGCCTTTACCTCTTGGCCCTTTCTTCATGGACATGTAGGGAGGACCATACCACTTGCCATTATTAACTCACCTGGCTTTACTGAACCTTATCTGGCCTTAGTCTTTTGCCTGCCCATCTGGCGCTAACATCTTGGCCCTCCCGCTCTGCCTACCTGACTCATGGAGCTTACCACCTCTGTGCCTCACTTAAAATAGTTTTATGTGTTTATTTTTGTGGTGCCCGAGATGGAACCTGAGGACTTGAGGATGGCAGGCAAGTGCTCAACCACTGGGCCCACCCTAGCTCTAGCCCTGCATTAAGCTTTAAACTCCCAGCCTTTTTCCCTTGGCCTTCCATGTGGAAGGTCTTAGTTGCCTGGGATCACCAGGTGTCTTAAATTCTTGAATTAAGCTCCTTGCCTGCTCCAGCGTATATCAGGCTTTGCCCACCTGGCTGTAACTTTTTTTTTTTTTTTTTGCAGTACTGGGGTTTGAACTCAGGGCTTGGTAGACAAAGCACACTACCATGCTCTCAGCCTTTTTTTTTTTTTTTTTGCTTTAGTTATTTTTTTTGATAGGGTCTTACACTTTTTTGTGGGCTGGCCTCAGACCTTGATCCTCCTGAGTAGCTGGGATTACAGGTGTGAGCCACTGTGCTCATGGCCTTAACCTTGGCCTTTCCTAGTGTTATCTTAACTCCTGGTTTTAGGCTTTGGCTTTACACACCTGGTTCTAACCACCTAATTTTAATCGCTTGGCCTTAACTGCTGGTTATAACCTGTTGGTCTTACCCACCTGGCCTGTCTCGTCTGACCTTCTGGCTCAGAAAGAGTAATTTAACCTCTTGGTCATGTGGGATTCCTCTCACGTGACCTTCTAGTCCCAGCTACGTATGATTCTGCCATCATCCTCAGGAGCTTGGGCAGCTCCCACTCTCCTGTTCTGTGGGAAGTCCAGGGAGTGGCCCTGCTGGGCTTTGAGTTTTGGCTGTCTGGCCTATAGCCAGTGTCTCTTTTCCTGGCTCTGTCACCAGGTTTCCTTCTATGGAAGAGCCTCCGTCTGTCACTAGGTTGTCTTTTTTTTTTTTTTCTGGTACTGGGGCTTGTACTCAGGGCCTATACCTTGAGCCACTCCACCGGCCCTTTCTTGTGATGGATTTTTTCGAGACAGGGTCTCATGAACTATGTGGCTAGGCTGGCTTCCCCAGATTATCTTCTATGGACACACCTGGTCTGTTTACTGTGCGCTCAGTGAGACAGAAAAAAAGAAACCCATTGCTGCTTCCTGTCTGTCCCCCACCCTCAGGCCAGTAGCCGTGCACAGCTTGCCCTGGTATATAACTTGGCTTTCCCTGGGATGGGGTGGCCACGGTGTCCTACTCAGGCCTTGCCTTTTTTGGGGGGAGGAAGGGAATGATAGATTCCCATGGGTCTCCTGGAGCAGGGACGAGGGTAATGGTTGGGTAAGACACCTTCCTGAGGTGCTGTGTGTGTGAACACGTGTGCCATCACCCACTGTTGAGCAGTTCTCTTTGTGGGACCCCTGGGTTTCTAGGATCTGCCGTGGTGGCACTGGGTGCAGCACAACATTGCTGTTCCTGGCTGGCGTGCGCTCCTTGCCACTGCCACTCCACTGGCCTCCTAGTGATCTGTGTGTCATGCTGACAAGGGTGGCTTGTTAACAGCTTTAGCCTCGTAGCTCTTTGGATACTCACTGTTTTGTACTCACTGTTGTTGTTTTGCTCTCTGCAGGCCGGTCTAATTGAAGCCAACGGAGAACTAAAGGTCTTTATAGACCAGAACCTTAGTCCTGGGAAAGGTAAGGGAGCCTGTTTTGAATATGTGTTGTTGGGTGTGTTGATGACCTGCTGACTGGAAGGTCCCACAGGGCTTTCTGACCCCTGCATCACCCTGGCCACTGTGCTCATTCTGCTTTCCAAGCTGCATGTTCTCTTTGCAGAGATCAGAGGTCAGCAAATACAGGAACGTGTTAAGAAGGAAGTGCAGACACTTGTGTTCCTTCCACCGAAAGATGGGGCACCTTGCCCCATGAGCTCCCTGGAGCCTTGTGGCTGGGTACCCCAATGCTAGCTAAGGCGAATAAGAAACCCCACAGCTAAGTACTACACACCCTGTACCAGGTGCACATCTTCACAGGTCGGCACCTGTGTCCCAGTGGCTGTCAGGGTGCTGTCTTCTGTGTTAAGGAATTGGGAAGGCAGGTGAGAAGTGGAGGCCCTTCTTCCAGGATCCTGCAGTGCGTTTCAGCCTCGGTCCCCACAGGGCAATCAAACAGAGCATTCAGCTTGCCTGGGGATTTCTTAGGTGGACGCCTGGACGGAGTGGTGGTCTGAGGGGCCTGGTGCACTGCATCACATATCCCTCCTTGCACCCTTGGTGCTCAGGCTGCTTCTGCCACGTGTTTGGTGCAGTTTGCATCAATGCTGTTTGCAGGACCGATTTGTGGAGAAGCCCAGTTGCCCGAAGAGATGTCTGCTCCCTGGGGCCAGGGAAGTCCTCGTGAGTGCCCAGCCAGAGCTGGAGCTCAGAGCCTTGGAACATCAGATTCTAAGTTCTGTTGAAGCACCCCAGTTTCTGGATTTTCTGTTGTTCTCATATGTAAAGTTAGCTATTGTCCCCTTAACAGCCAGGCCCTGGTCTGGAGGCTTGAGAATATAGTGGCCTGGTCCCTACCCATCCTTCTGCCCAGTCTGCCCTACTGCGCCATTCGTTCTAGGGGTTTGTGCTATGTGCCTGGGAGCCCAGGGTGTCATCTGCCTCTGGCTCCCTGGCTCCCCCTGGGCCGTCGCTGTGTCCACTCTAGTCTCCCTTAGTGTGGGGCAGAGCCAGGAGAGGGCTTGATCTCACGCCTTGGCCCCATCATCCTCTCCAGGCTGCTGCCTTTTCCACCAGGGTCATGCTGGCCATACGGGGCCTACTGGGTCCCTGTGCCACTGAAGTCAGCTGAGGTAGGTTTTGGTCTTCATGGCCGGCAGCATTCACAGGTGCTCACAGTGATGGGCTTCAGGGTCACTCACCCAGCAGTAGCCTTGGGAATTTCAGACATGTCTTCTACTCAGCTGGTGGAGCAGGACTTCTCTGTGCCTGTCACTCCCATTCACATGAGCTGCCTTCCTTTCTGTGCCTACTCATACATGTGCACATGTACACGGAGATCCACACAAGTGACCCTGAGCAGAGTTGACCTGGAGAGTTAGGATGTGAGGCACGACTCTCACTCGTGTGGGTGTGGTGTTCTGTTTATCAGGTTCTGACCATCTGACTGCTTCTCACACTTCTCTTTGCTGCTTGTGTTTTTATTCCCTGGCCCTTGTTGTTGGACATGGCAGTCCCATTCTGCCGCAGCACGGGTCTTGGGACAGGTCAACTCTGCTGCTGAGTTTGGTTGACCTCTGAGGCTCACTCCCCATGCACCAGTGCCGTGCTCAGGGCTTGCGTCACTTGACAAGTGATGAACTGCTTGATCACTGTTGTGCATGGAACACACTGATGCCATTTGGGAGGTGCATGGTGATGTCACCCCTCCATAGCAGGTGGCACTGTGGTTGTTGTTCCAGGTGGAGCTGTCTTTTGAGCGTGCAGTCCTTGCTTCCCGGTAGGTGTCCTGGGCAGTGGATACCGTGGGTTTTAGAGAGGCTCTTTGTGGACACCAGTGTACTTGTGTCCACTTGCTAGGCAGGAGTTGGTGCCTCCCAAGTCTTTGGTCCTGTGCTGGCCATGTGTCGTGGCTTTCTCTGGGTGCTGGGTCCTTTGCTTGCCTGCCAGCTGGGCAGGCTTTGGCAGTGAGTGGATGGTGCCTTGCAGTTTAGGAGTGCTGAACACTAGGGCAGCATGCTGGTGCCTGGATGCTGCTCACTTTGAGCTGTTTTTCAGCCCTTGCCTGGATGGTGAGCCCCAGGAATTCCTTCATGTCCTCAGCATTGGAGCCTCTTTTTATTCTCATGGAGCCTCAAAGCAACTGTGAACCGGCCATAGGTACAGGGTGCAGGGGATGATGGGATGCAAAGACCAGGTGCCCAGGCCACCCTGTGGTCTTCTTGGTCCTTCCTCAGCCTCTCTCTCCTGGATGACTCGTGTTGGTTTTTGAGATCTGACTCCAGAGGTGCCTCCAGTATGAAATGCTGCACCTACTCCCAGGTGGCTTCGAGTGAAGTGAGGGCTGTACTGCTCCCTGAGCACTAGGCACTGCGAAGCCTGATCAGCAAGCACCTTGAGCGACACTCACCAGAGGGTGCCCAGGACTGGGGTGGGCTCAGTGGCAGAGCGCTTACCTGACACTTGCCTGGGCTCCATCCAGATGGAGTCTTGTCACACCAACACATGAAGCTGACTACCGTGTAGTATTTTGCATTCACAGGCACGGTGAGTTGCAGGTGGCTGATTTTACTGTCATAGCGTGTGGGCAGCTATGGAGTTGTGGAGTTGCTGGGTCCTGGGGCCACTGTGACTATGACACCAACTCATCTTCAGCACGTGGGGTTCCACTCCTGTCAGGTTGGACTTCCTGTTGCCCAAGACCTGCTTATTTTACATCGTTGTGTGGCCTGCAGCGCTGACAGGATTCTGCCCGATGTCCTCCTGTCATTGAGGCTCCCAGTTTCCCTGGCGGGAGTGACCTCTGCCACACTTGTCATCTCACAGATGGTGTGTGCTCATTGAAGTGCCACCCACACTGCCCAGGAATGGTGTGAGAGTGGCCACGTGAGCTTATTTGTGTGCAAACCACATTGGCCCCCTTGTCAACACTGGCGTATGAGGGTTAGATGCTGCAGTGCAGTCACTGTGCTGCGTTCTGGGTGCTCGGCCCTTCCACCATGGTTTCTGAAGGCTGTATGATGTCTCTTGCTGCCTTTAATTCGACCTCTTTCTAGAGGTCTCTTAGTTTGGTATTAATGTAAACTGTTCTTTTCCTGGAAGGTCTCAGATATCCAGACCCAAAACTATTGTAGCATGGAGCTGCCAGGCTCCCTGCTCTCTGTTTCTTCTCGACTGTTGTAGTCTGGAATGGCCTGCCTCCCAGCTCCCTGCTTGTCCTAGGTCTTCTGACCATACAGAATGCTTCTGAGGTGGTTCAGAACACTAGCTCTTAGCACAGTGGCTGAAGGAGGCACACAAGCGGGGAACGGGTGTGCAAGAAGGTTCTCTGTCCCCACCCAGTACAGTGAGCGTCATAACCACCATGCAGTCACCCCTTCCCACACACCCACAGGAGTTAAGGTCACCACTGTGAAGACACCGCATGCCCACCCATGATACTGTGCACAGGCCTGGAAGTAACCCAGTGTCTATCAGTGGACGAGTGGATAAAGAAACTGAGATTTATGTGTGTGTGAATGTTACTTAGCCTTAAAAAAATGGGATTGCTGCCATTTGCCACAACATGGATGAGCCTGGAGGGCATTACACTAAGCAAAATAATCCAGGCACAGAGAGGAAAGTATGTGTGTCTCACATGTGGAGAGGAAATCAGATACATGAACGGGACTGTTCTCAGGCACGTAGAGGGAGAGGACGTGGGGCACCGGTGCAGCAGCACTAAAGAGCCGTGTGCAACGAGTACGTGAGAGTCTAGAGAGCCGTGTGCAGGGAGGATGTGAGCAAGCAAGATGGCTGCTGAGCTGCTGCGAGTGAGGGGGTTCAGCTGCTTTTGCCACAGACAAAATTGGGGTGACTGAGGTGATGGATGTGCAGATTTGCTTCACCACAGTATCCTGTACTATCTGCTTATGTCCATAACGTCATATGTACGATAAGATGTACTAAAACCCCAAAACATTCGCTTTGAAATTTTGAAAATATTTAGTTAAAATCACTTCATTAGCATATATTAATCGTACCAAATACTAGGTTTCGTTTTGACGTTTTTGTACGTGCATGTAGCCTGCTTTGATCATACTTACCTCCCCACTGCTCGGTAGCTTCCCCTTCTGTTTCTTCCCATGTGTCAGGACTTGAATGTCGTATACACCACATCACAGCAAAACGATGTGTCACAAGATGCCGCCTCTCGCAGTCACGAATCCACACCAACCTACAGCAGCTGCATGTATATTCCACTATCAGGTGTGGTTTACCCATTAGCTCATTTTGTGACGGGTCACTTAGAATTATCTTCAGATCCAGTAGTTCGATCGTTACCCCTCAAAATACCAGTGAAAGTTTGAACTTGACAGAAATGGAAGACGCCGAACCTGCCATGTTGCCTTGAATTCCATTTGTAATTTCAGTGGAGCCAGGTAGACCCTGGATGTGGAAAAACTCATTTTATCTTGGTTGAAATGGAAACCTTTTCTGATAATTCAAGAGGATGACTGGCCAAAAGCTCATTTTTCACACGAGAAAAATTGCTGAGTATTCAGTAACTGGAATACTGTCCTTTAGCTGAGATCCATGTCCTCCGGCATTCATCTTCAGCCCACTCTAGGAACAATCTCTCGCCGCCCACTTCGTTTCCCCCTCTTCTACTTTCATGTTGTCTTTTTCCCCCCTAGAGTCCACATATAAGAGGAAATGTGATGTTTGCCTTTCTGGATCTGGCTTCTTTCCCTTGATATGACCATCACTTCCATTTTCCTGCAAGCAGCATGATTTTGTTCTTTGTAGTTGAATAAAACTCCATTGTGTATTTACACCATATTTTCATTATCCACTCATCCATCGATGGGCACCTACGCTGATTCGTAACTTGGCTATTATGAATAGTGACTTAACAGACATGGGTATGCAGGTGTCTCCAATGTATGCTGACTTTGATTCTGTTGGGTGTATGCCCAGGAAATGGTCTAGCACGATCGTATGGTATTGTGTTGTAGTTCTTTGGAGAACTTCTGTACTGACGTCCATAGTGGTTACACTAATTTGCTTTCCCGTAGTATCTACAAGGGTTCTTTTCCCCTCATCCTCATCAGTGTTTGTTGTTTTTGAGCTGGAATCTCCTGGATGGCTAAAGGTGTTGAGCTTTTTCATATATTTATTGGCCCTTTAGTCCACTTGCCCATTTATCCCATTGATTAGACTATTTGTTCTTTGGGAGTTTGCTTTTTTGTGTGTGTGGCAGTACTAGGGTTTGAACTCAGGGCCTCAATGATTGCTAGGCAAGGGCTCTCCTAACTTGAGCTGTGCACACCCCAGCCCTTTTTGCTTTTTTTTCAAGTAGGGTCTCACATTTGTGCCCAGACCGGCCTGGGCTGTGGTCCTTCTATTCATGCTTCTCTTGCAGGTCAGCTTTCTACTGGTTGAGATGGAGTCTTGTTAACTTCTCATCCTGGCCTCATTTGACTTTTAAAGTTCTTTATATATCCTGGATATTAATGCCCTGTCAAGTGGACTAATAGCTGGGCAAGGTTTTCTTCCATTCCATAGGCTCTCTCCTTTGCTATGTAGAAGTTCTGTAGTTTGATGCAACCCCATTGGCCAGGTCCTGCTTTGATCTACTGAGCTGTTGGAGTCCTATTTGGAAAGTCTTGAAGTGTTTCCCGATATTTTCCTGTTGTAGATTGAAAGTTTCAGGTCTTATTAGAGGTCTTTGGTCCATTTAGAATAGATTTTGTACAGGGTGAGAGGCAGGGTCTAGTTTTAGTCTTCTACATGTGGATGTCCAGTTTTCCCAGTACCACTTGTTAAAGAGGCTGTCTTTTCTCCAACGTGTGTTTTTTGGCACCTTTGCAGACAATCAGATGTCTTTAGCTGCGTGACATCTGGGCCTTCTGTTGTCTTCTGTTGGTTTGTGTGTCTGTTTTCCTGCCAGTGCACTGATGGTCTTGTTATGTGGCTCTGTTTGAAGTCTATACTGCTGTCATTGTGCTTTTTGCTCAGTGTTGCTTTGGCTTTTTGGAGTCTTTTTGTGCTTCTGTATGAATTCTAGAATTGATTTTTCTGTTTCTGTGATGAATGTCATTGAAATTTTGACGGGGATTGTGTTTAATCTGTAGATTGCTTTTGGTAATATGGCTATTCAGTTAAAGCAGTTTTTGGGAAAAACTAAGCCTTGTGCCTTCATAATTTGATATCTTAAAATCTGTAGTTATTAATAGAATGTGATTTTATCAGTTATACAAACCGACGTGTACAATTCTAGATCCTTTTGTTAATGGGTTGCAGTAGTTCAGACCATTCATAAAACTATTTGGAAACATCTTGTTACATAGTTACTTCAAAAGGCTTTCCAGTATATTCTATTCTGCTGTTTAACAGATATTACTTCCATTGAGTTAGCTCCTCAGCCACTGTTCAGTAAAGGTTGTATCAGTCTTTGTGTCAGGAGAGCATGCTAAGTGTTCTTTTTATATTGTAGGAGTAGAACAAAGTGCATGCCATTTCACCCCTGAGACAGGCAGGGTCCCATGATATTTGCATGGGAGCAGCGTTGTGGGTACTATGGCAACCACAACACCTGCCACAAGACCAGTGCCTGTGGCCCCTGGGTCAATGGCAGCCTGGGAAGTTGTTAGTTCATCCAGCATGTTCCTTAGCAGATGCTCCAGAGGGTACCTGAGCCCCACCCCGCCCAACCTGGGAGTGCCCAGGGAGGACCGCTAAGGAGGGAGGAGCTAAGCTGGGGGAAGTCTGCAACTCAGCCATAAGTCGGCCAAGTCGAATGGGGAAGTTGTGAGTTCATGGATTGAGCTGTTGAATGTTGTGTGCTCTGGTCAGAAGCCCCATCTCCCTGAAACTCACTTTTAGCCTTGCCGTAGAGCAGTGTGGCCCTTGACCTGTGCTCCTGTGTTGCAGGTGTGGTGTCCCTGGTGGCTGTCCACCCGTCCACAGTGAACACGCTTGGGAAGCAGCTCTTGCCAAAAACTTTCGGACAGTCCAATGTCAACATCACACAGCAAGTGGTAAGTGGCAAGGTGTGTGGACACAGATCCTGTGGAATGGGGTAGCTGGTTGTGTTGGAACTAACTCTGGAAGGCCGAGGCTGAGCAGACACCCTGGCCTTCCTTCACGGCCACTGTCTCAAGGGCTGGGAGGCTGGAGAGGGGAGGAAATGGCCATGCAGGCCACAGCTCGAGGACAGGTTTCTCCTGGTTCATTACTGGGGAAGCAGGGTCAGTGCCACCCCCTTCCCTCACTGGGTTGGGTCACAGAGGAGGAACCCTACAGCTCCTTCCACAGAATCAGACCCTGGGCTGGTAGTGGTGTTACCCGAGCTGGAGCTTGTGGTAGGGGCTGTTGGAGCACAGCCACCCAAGGACCAGGCTTCTGTCCTTCCCCCAGGACCACCTTCGACAGAGCTGCAGCTCCACCTAACCCAATGATTTGGCACCTCCTGGGCAGCCTGGGTTGGGCTCCACTCCAGGGTCTCCTGCCGAGTCCTGAATTTTGCTCCTTAGGGAGGTCAGCACACCCTGGGTGGGAAGAGAGCCTGTTTGGAGGAGGAGGCTTGGTGCTCCCCGTGGTCCCCAGTATCCACAGGTGTCCCTAGTACCTGTAAGGGTTTCCATCCCCAAAGGAGTTGTGGCGTGGGGGGCTGGGGTTGGTGCCGTTTGCAACTGCTGCCGTGTGGGCAGCTCTCCAGAGTGATTCGCACACCTTCGTCTTACTTAAAATTTGTGTCGACCAACATCTCCCTCCTCCCAGTGGATCTGAGCACTTGACTTTTAAATAGGAGCGGCTGACTGTGGGGCCTGGTGGTGGAATGGGACTTCTCCCCTGCGGTGGAGCGGAGGGCTCCTGCCAGTCAAGGCTGACCAGAGCTTGCTTTGCAGAGCTGTGGGTCACTAAAAGCAACACAGACGTCTAGCACATATTTGGCACTTGATAGCTCTTCTGTTCAGTTTTCTACTTACTAATGCCATTTTACTGAAAGATCCAGATTTGTTTCACTTTATAATTTCTCTAGCTTTCTAATACTGTGTTTTATGGCAGAATTTAGCTTGAATAAAAAGTAACTGTAGCAACAATTGTGTTTTTGTTCCCTCTGAGAATGGCTGGTGACCTGAACATCAAACAGTGATTTAAACTGAACTGTGTTGGGAGGAGCTGGTAACTGTCCATGCTTTGCAGTGTCCTTGAAGTAGATCGAAACATTCGTGTTGCAGTGACTCAACCACAGTCCTGCCGATTCTGACGTGGGGCCTGAGGCTTAACCCTGCGTGTGTGTGAAATGTGGCCAGGGGGGTTGCTGAGGCTCTGGTGGTCACCCACCAGCAACTGGGTGCCCTTGGTCAGGCTCTGAGAAGCCTAGGTAGTGCAGCAATGTTTAAGGCCCGTTGAGAAAATGCACTGGAGTGCGTAGTGTGAGCCCTGCCCCGCGGGGGTGAGACCGGTTGGCCCCCTCCGCCAGAGGAGACTGTGTGGTAACTTTCCTTTATAGTTTTACTGCCTGCCTGGAATTCTCTGGTTTGCTACTGTTTATATTTTGGATGCTTTATGGAAGTCGAGTCACATAGTGTACTGTGGTGATTCTAATTTCAGCCTTTTACAATATGTGGAGTTAAGATTCAAAGTGTGATCTTAGGGTAGACCTGGAAGGGGGGGTGCTTAAAAGCCCATGTGTGTGGGGCTGTAGCTCAGTGTACAGTGTTTGCCTGGCATGCACTGGGCCCTGGGTGAGGTGGCTCCCTTCAGGCCCTGTGCAATTGGATGCTAGGCTTTGCTTCCATCTCTCCACTCACTGTGGGGTCTTCCACATTGTCCTGCCTCTTCCCCCACCCCCGCCTTTGTGGTCCTCCATGCTGTTGTCTTCCCCCTCCGCCTCTGGGGTCCTCCACACTACCTCCCTGCTGTGAGGTCCTCCATGCTGTCTCTCCCCCTCCCCAGCCACCGTGATGTCCTCTACACTGTTCCCCCCCGACACCAAGTCACTCTGGTTTTCCACGCTGTTGCTCCATTCGTGTTGATCCCTGGTCCTGATGATCCTGACTGAGCACCAAGGGTACAGTGCCTGGCTTTTTGCCCTCACACCCACAGAGAAGCACGACTCACACCACCTAGGCGGTAGAGCTGCGTGTTGCCACAGAGGACTCCTGAAGGCTGCTTTTGAGAGGTATATGGTGCTCACCAGCGAGCTCGTGTCTCTGCTCAATCATTGTGTGGAGATAGGGCCTTCCATCCTTCCCTTGCAGTCCACAGACTGCCATGCAGAGTCGTCAAAGCCGGGAAGCAAATTTCCTGGAGACCGGCCGTTCAGCAGCTTGCTGTGAGCAGTGGGAGCTGGCCATGTGGGACCTCCTGTACCTGCAGGGTTGCCAGGTGCAGGCAATTCCCAGGGAGTCCCTGACCACACTGAGTCCTGCTGTTGAGGAAAGGTGGTTCTCTGTAATGAATATCTGCTGTGATCTGCCTGGGGCTTTTTGATCTTCCTGCTGCTGATTGGTTAGACAGAGATGGATGGCAAGGAATCCAGACCCAGGCGTCTCACAGTCCTAAGTCTCCAATGGGGAAGCTGGGTTTATGAGGCCAGTTATATTCATGTTCCCAGGACCCTTCTTGTGACCCTCGTGCCATGTAAGGTGAGGCAGCAAGCACTGTCCAGCTCAAGTTGGAAAACTGCCTCCACTCTGCTCCCCAGCATGGGTGGGGGTGGCATTGTATCCTATCTGCTGGTGGGGGAGTTTCCAGCTGTTGTGACTGTTGATCTTCGAATTTTGAGGAACGTGCCCCTACTGTGACCCAGTCTCCCCAAATGCAACCTTGTGTTCACCACACATGAGAAGAGCCTCATGAAGCACTTGCTTACCCCCAGGAGGCTTGTTTTCTGTTCTGTCGTTCTGTTTTGCACAAACTTTGCCAGTTTGGTTTTGTGGCTGACTGATGAGTGTGGTGTGCAGAGAGGCTGTAACCACTGGAGGTGAGCACACCTGTGCCTGGGGCTACACAGGTCCCTCCGGAAGGGTGCAGGGAAGAATTCAGAAACATCAGCCCCCATGGCTCCTCACCACAAGGTGTCTCCATGGTATTTGAGCAAACTGGACACCTTAAGAAGGTTTTTTCAACTTAGCTCCGTGCAGGACCTTAGAGAAGTTCAGACTTCAGTTGGCTGTTCAGGGCGATGCCTGTGTCCAGAGGCGAACATTCAACTGTTAACCCAGGGAACTCAAATGGCAGACTTGTCAAAAGGAAAGCCATGTGTTCACTTTCTTAGTGAGGGTGTTGCAGTGTGTCTCTGCCCCGTGGTGGGTTGGGACACATTTACTCCCGAGAGCCACCCTTGTTCTGGCAATGTCACCTCTTCCCTGGGGCAGATGGACCATAGCATGCTCTGTGCTCCCAGGCTCACTTCACACCTAATGCTTGGATGCTGTCTATGTGCCAGGGTCACCTAGAGAAGGGGCGCTGGGTGGGGCACCCATTTAAGGGGACAGTGACAGGTATCACTGCTAAGCTGGAGAAGGATTCAGTCAGTCCTGGAGTGTGTCTGTTGTAAGAGCTATTTCTTGTTTGTTTTTTGGCTTCTCTTTGGGGCCATGGAAGGATACAGTTTATCCTGTCCGTCTCATTAGAGGACTTCAGCCCAGGGATATTTGAGTGCCTGTTGTTAAACCTGACCGCCATAGTGGCCTGTGCAGCGAGGGCACCCACACCGTGTGCTCTTCGTGTTGGGAGGCCAGCTCTGTCCACTCCAGCCTGCCAGGGCTGGCTGTGGCTTCTTGATGCTTTTGTTGAGTGGAGAAGATGCCTGAGCTGGAGGGGAGGCAACGCCTCACATGGAGTAACTGTGGCGATTGCCTGCGGTCAGCGTTTTGGAAGTGATGCGGGGCATCTGCTTTGTGGCGGTCCTTTGTCGCTGTGCTGCCGAGGCGTGGCAGTGTCTTGATGTGCACTGGTCTGATTGTTCTGAATTCTCTCTTGACTGTAGGTGATTGGTACGCCTCAGAGACCGGCAGCGTCAAACACTATCGTGGTAGGAAGTCCACACACCCCCAGCACTCACTTTGTGTCCCAGAACCAGCCGTCCGACTCCTCACCTTGGTCTGCTGGGTGAGCACTCCCCGCCCTGGGGTGACCATTGCCTAGAATGTCTCCTCTGTCCTTGGAGGCTACATGTCACGTGGTCTGTGACCCATTACTGTCTGGGTAGGATGTTGAGGCGGGAGCCGCTCGGCCTATCGCATCTGCTCTTTGGCGGGTGGGAGTGCTGGCCTCCATGACCATGCTGGCTGCCCACTGCAACCACTCTGAAACCTTCTTCGTCACACTGGGCGTAAACGACCCCCCAGGGCTGCACTGCCGCTAATGTGTCTGATGTGGACGTGGTTTTCCTTGAAGATCTGCTGTGTGTCTTCCCTTAAAACACACCCATGACCCGGCATGGGGTAGTCCACACTTGTAATCCCAGCTACTCGTGAGGTGGAGGCAGAAGGATCTCGACTTCAAGGCCAGCCCGGTCAAAGTTAGTGAGACTGTATCTCAAAAAGAAAATAAAAAATAAAACAAAAAAGGGCTGCAGGTGTAGCTCAAGTGGCAGAGTGCTTGCTAGCATGTACATGGCCCTGGGTTCAATCCCCAGCACCAAAAAAAACCCAAAAACTCAAGCTACACACTGCTGTATACACACCATGTCTGTATTGGCTCTAAGTGAAAATCATCTTTGCCCAAAACTCAGCTAGAAGAAACTCAGTGACCTTCCCAAGGTGGTAACTTAGGGAAGGTCCCCCATTTGGTCATCCCTCTCAATCTGAAGCACACAGTGGTTTGCACCTACTGTCATGCTAAGTCTAAGCAGTGTAAGTATCTGCCTAATGTCGTGGTAGCCTGCTGAAGTTGGCCCTGAAAATTCCTATTTTAACACTAGAACACTGCAGTCCGATGCTGGCTGAGCCTGTTGGTGTGGGCCAGGTGCATCCTGGTTCCTGCCCTCAGTGTCTGCGCGTCTTCCCCGACAGGTGAAGGCACAGGTGTTGGATCTGGCCTTGTAGGTGTCCTTTTCCTGACCTTAGACTCACAGACACCTGCTGATGTCCTTAGCACATTGCGATGGAAGCCCTTTCCTGTGGCGTGGCCGTGGAAGGCGGGGGCCTCCTGGGGTCAGGGCCCGGGGTACTTCTTAGTGTTTTAGGAGAAAGTGTCTTGAGTCCAGCCTGGCTCTCGGATGCTCATGGTGTCTGTTTCTCTGTGTTTTTAGGAAGCGCAACAGGAAGGGTGAGAAGAATGGCAAGGGCCTACGGCACTTCTCTATGAAGGTGTGTGAGAAGGTGCAGAGGAAAGGGACGACCTCCTACAACGAGGTGGCTGATGAGTTGGTCGCAGAGTTTAGTGCCGCTGATAACCACATCCTACCAAATGAGTCAGTAAGTGCTGTTGGGGGCTGCAGGCCAGGGTCACAGGGCTCCTCGGTCTTCAGCAAGGAAATTCCTGTACAGCCTAAGAAGTGACCCTGGCCTTCTGCAGGACTAGTGGTCCCAGAGGACGGGTCAGGACGGTCCCCTCGAGCTGTCTGAGGGCACCTTCCAAGGCTGTTCTCATGGTCTGACATCTAAGGTGTTGGTGTCCAGCCTTTCGGGTCACTGGGAAGGTTGTTGGTCCGTCTTCCCAGGCTTATGACCAGAAGAACATCCGGCGCCGTGTCTACGATGCCCTGAACGTGCTCATGGCCATGAATATCATCTCCAAGGAGAAGAAGGAGATCAAGTGGATCGGCCTGCCCACCAACTCGGCTCAGGAGTGCCAGAACCTCGAGGTGCACTACAGCCCCCGCTCCCCGTCATTTCACTGTGTCCCAGAGTCAGCCAGGAGGGTCCTGCTGCTGCCCTCATGCTGCCTGTGCCCAGCGCTTGCTCCAGGTGGACATGGGTGGGGTCTTGCTGTGTTTCTTGCCTGTTTCACCAGGCACTTGGCCTCTGGCTCTGCAGGTGTTCAGCAGTGGGTGAGGGCCTGCACCATACTACAGAGTATCTAGACTAGTAGAGCTTAGTTCTCCATCCTCATTCATGGGTTTTTCCCTTAATCCAGCCACATCTGAGAAAGGAGGAGAGGGAGTCAGGTGTGGTTTTGGAGTTGCAAGGGAAAACTGGTCTGTCCACATGTGACCATGTCACCTTGATTAGAGTCTGAGCAGATGTTGGCAAGAACTGATGCCCGTGGCATGGTGCAGATGGGGCTTGTCAGTGCAGTCCACCTCCTCATGGTGTCTGTCTGCAGGTGGAGAGGCAGCGGAGGCTGGAGAGGATCAAGCAGAAGCAGTCCCAGCTCCAGGAGCTCATCCTGCAGGTAACTGCTTGTCTGAGGACGACATCCTGCTCCAGGGGCCACAGGAGCTCGGCTCTGAGTTTCCTGATGCTCCCAGAGCACGTTCACCACACAGGACTGGTTCCTAGAGGCTGAGATTGTGTGACCCTCAGCTGGAGGGTGTAAGTGATGGGAGGGTGGCTCCCAGAGAAGTACTGTGGGAAGACTGAGGATCAGGCTCTGTACTGGGCACCTCGTGATGCAGGGAGTGCAATGGACCAGGGTTCCGACAGCTTCTGCTCAGGAGCAGGACAAGTGGTTAGGGTTGGCATGTCTGTGCAAGAGGCCTTGGAGCTGGGCTTCCAGTGTTGAGAGCCAAGGGCCCAAGGCTGGCATAGGGGCAGGGAGAACTGGTCCCTGACCCAGGTACAATGGAACCTTCCAGGACAGGTGATGAAGTTGGGAGTCATGCGGAGTGAATTTCATGCCCGAGCATGGGGTCCCAGCAAGGTCCCTAGCCCCTCACGAGGCCATGTCAACTGCTTGAAATTTGGTGTGATCCACTGAGGGGGCAGCATCTGGGACCCAGCCTGGGGAGCTCTCTCTTTCCTGTGGTGTCAGCCCAGAGCTACATGGTGGGGGTGGCCCAGGATACTGTCATGGGTGTGGTGGGAAAGGGGGGCCAGTGGGTGCCTGGCCCCACTCCCAGTCTCTGCCCTCAGTTGCATGCTGGGTGAGTTGTTCTCTTATCTGTAGCTACTTGTTGGAGATGAAGTCTGCCACTGAGCACAGCCTCAGTGGGCACAACTGCCAGTGCAGGGAGGCCAGGCACGTGGGGTCAGCCAGCTTTGGATCACGGTTGGAAAGTCATATGCACACAGCCTCTTCAGGCATAGGTGCTGGCTCTGGACACAGTCCCAGAGAGAGGCCTGTCACCCCTCACTGGGAGGCCTAAGCGTCCCCTATCAGGTCTCCTTCCCACAGGTATGGCCATAGTGGGCAGCCTCAGGGGACAAAGGGACCCAACTTCCAACATGGATGTGTCTCCACATTCCTTGTTTTTCGTGGACTGGGATAGCACTGTCAGCCTGAGGATTTGGTTTCCACACATGCTTCTCCTCTGGCTGGAAATCCCAGGCAGGGCTCGACTTTGGGCTGTCCACAGGGAGGGAGCAGAATTGCTGCTGTGGCCACCAGGCTCCGCTCCTCTTTTCCAGCAAATCGCCTTCAAGAACTTGGTGCAGAGAAACCGCCAAGCGGAGCAGCAGGCCCACCGGCCGCCACCGCCCAACTCTGTCATCCACCTGCCCTTCATCATTGTCAACACCAGCCGGAAGACTGTCATTGACTGCAGCATCTCCAACGACAAGTGCGTCACGTCCAGCCTGGCCGGGGCCCCCAGGGCTCAGCTCTTGGTGGGGGAAGAAGGCCTGCGGGGCGAGCTGTGCCATCAGGACTCACTGCAGGGTTGGGTGCCATTGCGTCCCGGCATGCAGCTGCCTGGATGGAGCAGGCCAGCGATTTGCAGAATCACCTGAGCTGCTCATCCGCCGTCCCCGAGTCCATGTTGTTTTGTGCAGGGACCCAACCATGGGGCTGGAGTGGGCACGGCAGGGAGGAGTCCACCTACCTGGGCCTGACCCACCGTGCTGCCTGCGCCTGGAGGCCTGGCCTTCCTCATGGTGCCTCTCTCTCGCAGGTTCGAGTATCTGTTCAACTTCGACAATACGTTTGAGATCCATGACGACATCGAAGTCCTGAAGCGCATGGGCATGGCCTGTGGACTGGAGTCGGGCAGCTGCTCCGCTGAAGACCTCAAGATGGCCAGGAGCTTGGTGCCGAAAGCCCTAGAACCGTACGTGACAGGTCAGTCGTGTGTGTGACGCAGTCCCGGACAGGAGAGACGTGCCAGGCTGTCCGGTGACCATCCTGGCTCTTGTGCATCCTTCCGTTTCACTGCTCACACATCTTGTAGACTTCCTTGGTTGTGTTGCCATCTCCTTCCTTTTCTTTCAGAAATGGCTCAGGGATCCATCGGCGGGGTGTTTGTCACGACGACAGGCTCTGCCTCCAACGGCACGAGGCTTTCTGCCAGGTGACAGGGCTGAGGGTGGGCGTCATCTGGTTCCCTCTGTAGCAGCCCCTAGCTGTGTGCACACACCCACAACTGTGTTCTCAGTGGACTGTCCACCCAGGTGCGATACACTTCGGGAGCCACGCCGCGCTTGTCCCTGTGTGGGGGGCTTGCTTTTCTCAGTTGTTTTTTCTTTCTCCGTAAAAATTAAAAGTACTTCATGGTTTTTTGTTTTTTTTTTTTTTTAAGTGACACGCAGTAAATTGGGGGCAAAAGAAGCTCACGTCCCACTGTCCCTAGTAGCCCAAGCGATAGCAGGTCTTCTTAGAACTGTTTTCTGGCTGGGTGAAGTAGCTCATAGCTGTAATCCCAGCTATTCCAAAGATGGAGATGGGAAGGATTAAAGTTTGAAGCCAGCTTGGGCAAAGACTTAGCAAAATCCCATCTCAGCAAATAAGCCTGGTGTGGTGGTACACACCGATAATCCCAGCTATCTACATGGGAGGCCATAGGTAGAAGGATTGCCATCCAAGACTGGTTCTGGGCAAAAACCACAAGACCCTATCCAAAGAAGAGCATAAAAGAGCTGGGGCAGGGCTCAAGTGGTAGAGCACCTGCCTAGTAAGCATGAAGCCCTGAGTTCAAACCTCAGTACTGAAAAAAAAAAAAAAAAAGTTTCCAATTTTCTTAAGCCTCCTTCATGTCAAAGCACATATACAGTTTTATACTCTGCCTTCTTTTTCACTTTATACTTTACTGTATCTGTTTTTTTCCTGTTATTGGAGAAACTTTATTTAAATAAATATATATTTATTAACTTTTGACCCACAATTCCAGAGAGCAGAATGATATCCCTAGGTGTTTATCTTAGAGCTTTAAAGATAAGGCGAGGTGGCTTTACAGGAAGCATTAGCGACGGTTTGTCACCTTTATGCTTCACTGATACGCCTTACGCACTTAGGACAAGCGTAAATATTAACATGTTCACTTAGAGGAAGAAATTCTTCAGTCATCTGCAGGTCCAGCAAGCCAGGTTTGTCTGTTAGAACCTGGTCCATCCCTGGCAAGGCGAAAAGCTCTGCTGGCCTGGATGTGAGGGGCCGGGGGCAGGCTCTGCCAGTCTGGGCCTCCTCACTCAGCCTAGGACAGCTGTGTCATCGATTGCTGCCAGGGAGGTGGCAACATGAGGACTGGCGTGTCATCCTGAGTGTGGTGAGGGGACAGACCTGTGTGTTGTCTGAGGATTGAGGAGGGGACAGCATCAGTGAGGTCCTTCTGTCATAGTGTGGTCAGCTCTCCTGAGTTCAGCTTTTCTCTCTGTCCTGAGTTTTCAGCTGTGTAAGAATGTGTGGTCAGTCTGCAGAATGCCTACCAGGTAATTCTTTGAGGTGTTTCTTACACGTTATTCAGGTGGTTCTTTTTCTTTCTTGCAGTTCTGGGGATGGAACTCAGTGCATGGTGCATGGCAGGCAGGTGCCATCCCCTGCCCTGGCCACATCAAAACCACATTTTTCACTTGATATGTCTGCTTCACACTCACTTTTTTGTGGCCTGCTGATGTGGGTGAAGGGCCTGGAAGCAGGACCTACGGGGTGTCCAGTTTGTGTTGTGCCGTTCTGCTGGCCGTCCTGGCTGGAGCTGTTAGGTATTGGTAAAGTCGGGGCTAGAGGAGAATGTGAGCAGGGTGAGGACTTTGTATCCTGAACATTTCCCATTTCTGTTGTGTAATTTAAAAACCCAGTCCTCCTGGAGACACGTCTGCCCATGGCTGGCAGAGTGGCCACACGCCACTGACTGCCTCTCTGGCCTCCTGTGTTTGCAGTGACCTGAGCAACGGTGCAGATGGGATGCTGGCCTCCAGTTCTAACGGGTCCCAGTACAGCGGCTCCCGGGTGGAAACCCCTGTGTCCTATGTTGGCGAGGATGATGAGGACGATGATGACTTCAACGAGAATGACGAGGAAGACTGATTTCTCAGCTTGTAGGCTCCCCTCCCCCTTCAAATTCAGCTTCAGGAAAAAATTGTTTAGAGGAGAGAAACTTTTTTAATGTGCAGTTTTCTGTTTCTTTTTGGCTTAGCCCCAAGAAGACGTGGTAAGCTATGGTGTTAGACGGGCACCTCTGATAAGCAAGGACGTTCCGACACCAGTGTGCTGACGGAGAGCCTGTTTAAGATTTTGTTTTCAGTTTCTGCCTTTCTTAAACTCAGAGTTCATTTTCACCCCTCAACAGTGCTTGCTGGGTTTGCTGAGGAAATTGCGCTGTGTCCACACCACAGCAGTAGCCACTCTCCTGTGGGGCATCCCCACCAGGCACAGGCTGTGTTAGCAGCGGTGGTAGTGCCACCTGCTGGAGGACAGCGAGACTGCAGGATGCGGTTTCCTCCATTAAATAACGCAGTGTCCAAAGAACCAAGCAGATAGCCAAGCTCTGCTGCTAAACAGCAAGTGCCACAGATTCATTGTGACTTTACCTCCTGGACTGCACCGACTGCCGTGCACCTCTCGGGGTATGCTTTTCTCCTCTCTTTTGCAGCAACAAATTGCAAAGTACTTTTTTTGTTGATTTGTTTTTGTTTTGTTTTGTTTGGCCAAGGTTACTGTCACACAGGCGCAGCTGTGGACATGTCTGGAAAGTTTATTGCTTATGGCAGAATTTGCCTGATTTCTTACAGGCAGCATTTGGAAACTTTATTATATAGTTGTTTACATACTTAAAAGTCTATCATTTAAAGACATGTACTGAAACAAATGTACTTGTTTCGTAAGCATCTTCCTGTAATCTATTATAAAGTTGAAATTAAACATAGAGAATGTTTTAACAGTTTTTTAACTCAAAATTTGTCAATCATTTTTAATAGTTCTTTTTTTATAAAAAGAAAAAGGAATTTTAAGGACAGGCAGTAGTCTCTTAAAATTAATTCACAGAAAACCGTCAGCTGCACAGTTGCTGTCGCTGCCTGTTCCAAAATGATAGTCTTTTTATTGAAACACAAATAAACTTTTCTGTAATATTTTATGGAATACAAAGAGACTTTAATTGTTTGACTTGTTTAACTCGGCACTGTTAGTTTTATTAATAAAACGTGCATGAGCATTTTAAGCAAGCTCCGTGTTTCTCTAATTCAGGATTACTGTCTAGAAGTTATTTTGGCTTGTTAGTCATGTTCTACACTTGAGGGAAAAGCAGGTGCAGGCGCAGGTGCAGGCCCAGGAGCCGAGTGCGGGGCAGCCCGTGGCCAAAGGCGGGTGCAGGAGACAGCAAGGAGGGCAGGTGAGTGTGGGCCAGTGGGTGCTGCGTGTTGGGGTGTCTGTGGTACAGAGAAAGTTTGTTCCTTAGCTTTTTACTCAATCTAAAACGTGGACTCTCACTCAGAAAAAGACCAGGACTGTGAGAGCCTCTGGAAAAATGGCAGGTGGGAAGCCCTGGGCGCCTGTCTCCTGCCTGCACAATTGCCCTGGCAGAGCCTACTGGACACTACTGAGGAACTCTGGAGTCCAGAAGGCCTGCAGCTTCCATGGGGGGCATGGGAGGTAAGTGGCAGTTAATTTTGGTTCATTTCATTCCTCTCCCCAGGGCAACCCACTTGGCCCTGGTCCAACAGACAACAGTGCCATGCTGCCACGGATCCTGCAAGGCAGCTGGAAGGAGCCAGGGAAGCAGAAGACCTTTAGTTAGCACCTCAGGCTGATCCCCAGCATAGACCGCCTACAACTGTCACAAAACAGAAACCCCAGCAAACCCTTGGAAACAGGGATCTGCTTTCTGGCCATCACATCAGCAGGTTCAAATGTCCAGTCTTCAACAGAAAGTCACTAGGCATACGAAGAAACAGAAACGTGCAGCCTACATGAAGGGAAACATAAGTCAGTCAGATGGTGTCCCTGCAAAAGATGTGATGGCAGACAGCCTGGGTAGTACTTTGGCCGCCTCAAAGATGTTTGGAGAACTGAGGAAAGACAAAGAGAAAGTTCAGAAAACATGAACAAGAGACAGAAAACCTAAAAGGAAATCAAAAGTGTAGGAGTCAGGCTGGGCTCCAGTGGCTAACGCTTGTAATCCTAGCTACTCAGATGACAGAGATCAGGAGGATCGTGGTTCAAAGCCAGCCTGGGCAAATAATTCATGAGACCCTGTCTCGAAAAAAACCCTTCACAAAAAAGGGCTGGTGGAGTGGCTCAATGTGTAGGTCCTGCGTTCAAGCCCCGGCACCAAAAAAAAAAAAAAGAGTCCGGCAGAATTGGCAGAATTGGCAGTGAAGACAGGACAGTGGAAGTGCCTGAGTCTGAGGAACAGACAAAAGATTGAAAAGAAGTGGAGAGTCTTAAGGGACACGAAGGGCACCACAGGGCACTATCCAGATGACCAACACGTGCCTTCTGAGAGAACCCCGAGGAGAAGAGAAGAGAAGAGGGCAGAGTTGAGTATCCACAGATAAGCTGAAAACTCAGTACCACATTTGATGAAAGGCTTGAATATAAACATTTAAGAAGCTTAAGGAACATCATGAAAACTGAGCTCACAGACCCACACGTTGTAATCAAACTTTCAAAAGACGATCTTAAAAGTAACAAGAGAGAAGAAACTTAGCACATACAAGGTTCCTCAATAATGCCACCCAGAGCTTTGCCACCTGTGGGGGCCACAAAGCAGTAGCCAGTATATCCACAATGCTAAAAGAAAGAAAAGCTGACCACCAAGACTCTTGTGTCTGGCTAAGCTGTCCTTCCAAACGAGGAGAAGTTAAGACCATTCCAGATAACAGTTCAGAAGTTCATTACCAGTAGACCTGCCTAGTGGTCCAAGAGCGCCCTGCTGGGTGACATGGAGGTCACCAAATGATGACTTGAAACCAAATGCCAAAGTCATATCCCAGTCAGTGTACATACAGGGGCAGTTAAGCTAGTGACTAGACAGTCAATGTACACACAGGGACAGTTAAAAAAGTTAGTGACTGGAAATTTGGTCCTCTGAACTCAGTCCCAATTCACAAATAACCAGAGCAGGGTTTTTGGAGAAAAAGGAGTAAAGGTTTATTAATTTTGCCAGGCAAAATGAGGACTGCATGAGCTGCTGTCAGGAACTGGAGTCCTCCCGGAGAGAGGGGCAAGGAGGGGAAAACCCAAGAATGTGGGCTTCTGGATATATGGGCTGAGGCATGACCGTGGGGCCAGTGGTGGCTTTGGGTCTGCTTCCCAATGTACTGGTGTCTTGAATGCTCTTTATTCAAGATGAGAGGAGTGAGATGACCTTGTCTGGAGCTGTAAAGACCTTGGGTTCCCTCGCATGGGGGAATGGGTGTGTGTGTCTAAGGCAGAAGAGGGAAAAAGTGAGTTACTGGGTTAAACCACAGCTGTGAACATACTTAGACCTCGTTTCCATTACGCCAGTGTTATATCTAGCTTGAAATTCCATCTTTTGCATATAATTTGAGAAGCTAATGCGTTTAAAAGAGTAGTTTTGTACTCAGTGTGTTAAGCAAAGTGGAGAGCCATGTGGCTGTAAGCATTGATGCATAAGTCTGTAAAATGCCGGCCAACAAATACAGCAGCATACTCAAGGGTTATACGTGATAAAGCAGGATTGGTGTGGGGACACACGTCCAGTTCAGCATAGGGAGCCTGATCCCAAGTAATGTGACACATGAACAGAGGAGAGAACAAGCACATTTCAGTTGATACAGAAAACACATTTCACAAAATTCCGTGCTCTTTTACGGTAACAGTGCTCAACAAAGAGAGTCAGATGAAGTAATGAACAACTTACCATCACCTCACGATGAAATACTGAGCTGCTTTTTTAAATAAAATTTTTATTGGATATATTCATTATATGGGGGGGGATTCATAGTGACAATTCTGATTAGACTTGTACATCAGTTACATCGCCCCCATCATCTGTCTCCCTTAGAGAGCTTTTTATCTGAGATGGGGAAAAAGGCAACCTGTCCACTTTTGTCACCTACTATTTGTACATAGTACTGGAAGTTCTGGTCAGGGGACTTAGGTAAGAAAAAAGAAATGAGTCAGGTTTAACCGACAGGAAGAAGCAAAACTCTTTGTAGGTGATGTGATTTTTATTATATTTTTAGTTTTAGTTTTTTGAACCAGCACACAAATGAATATATTTTCTTTATTGAGGGTGACAAACAAAAACAAAAAGACCAAACATGTAAAAACCCAGGGTGCTAGAAATACAAACTCAACTCAGTTAATTCAAACTCATCTAGACCTGGTCACACACCCTAGTGAGGTGCCTATGAGCACCACATCAGGGAGAGGGGGACAGGAGTGAATCTGAGGCCAAGAGAAAGGGTGAAAGGGGGGATCCCCCTAGGTCCTCTGGAGATCACCCCCACGGTGGTATCTCCACCTTCCCAACAACTGTGAAGACCTACCAGGTCCTGTCTTGGCCCCCATCCAACACTGGCTAGGGCTTTGAAGGCCAATCCCAAATGGTTCTACCCTTGTTCTGTCCTCACTTGCTAGGCTTTTAGCCTCGCTCTTCTCTTCCACATCTCCATGATTAGTAGTAGGTTAGGGTACTGTATAAGCCGTGGTGAGGCTGGGAGGTCAGGTGCAGGACGGAGGTAAAGAGAGGAGATGAGCTGTCCAAGGACCCCTCTCTTTATGGGATCCCAAACTGTACAACCAGCTCCTTTTGTATCCACATGGATCTGAGAAAGTGCACTGTAGGCATAAGCAGCTATCCTGGAGACCTGCTACAAGTCAGAGAAGGGGATGGGCTGACTGGTAAGAGATGGGAGCAGTGGCAGCTTCTTCCGATGGGTCAGGCTACTGCTCAGCATAGCCAAGCCAGTGCTATACTGTCCTGCCCAGTCCGTGTACTCATGCTGCTCCATGCCCTGGGAGTCAGCAGCAGACACATCGATAATGTTGCTGGCTGTTTTGGCAAGGATGGAGGAGAGCAGGGCCTGCTCATCTGTGCGAGTGGAAGGCAGGCTATGGTAAGTTAGGCTCAGCTCCATTGAGGGCTTTGGTGGGGGGACTACCAGGGTCCCGCAGCAGCTTCTGCTCTCGGTCCTGGTCTAAGTCCTCATTTTTGCTGCTGTAGCAAGCACCCCATGGCCGGGGTCGAGCCAGGCGCTCAGGCTGTGCTGAGGAAGGATGACATCCGTCAGGAGCCCTTCTGGTCACATGACCCGGTGGTGAGCAACTACCCATTCGATTTTTATATATCAAAAATCCTAAAATGATTAAAATGCTGTCTGGACTTGACAAGGATGCAGAATGCACGGTGACATTGAAAGTTGTACTTTCATACTCTGGCTGATGAATCTGAAAAGGGACTTAAAATAACTTGATCATCAAAACATTAAAGATGTAATTGGTTGAGGCGAAAGGCTTTTTGGGGAAATAAATAGAAATTAGAGAAGTCAGAAATGGCGTGGGCTGGGAGATGGGCTGTTAGGATGTCAGTGCAGCCCGATGTGACCTGGGGATTGCATGCAGTCTGTAGCAAATCCCAATCGTGGTTTTTGCAGAAAATCTACCCCAAAATTCATGTAAGATCTCGGGTGACCCTGAATTCCCAAAACAATCTTGAAAAAAGAAGCAAGTGAAAGCACTCACACTTCCTTACTCCAAAACTTGACTGCAAAGCTATAGTAATCGACAGTACAGTGTTGGTATGAAGACAGACTAATGAAGTAGAAAGGAGGCAGAAAAAAATGTGTGGTCAAATGTTTTTTGACAAGGGTATCAAGACCATTCAATGGGAACTTCTCAACAAATAAACGGTCTTTTCAACAAATGGGCTTAGGAAAGCTGATTGTCCCTGTGTAAACGTACAAAGTGGGACTCTTACATAACTCCATATAAAGAACTCAAAATGGATCTAAGCCCTAAATGTAAGAACTGAAAATTCCAAACTCTGAGAGGAAAATAGCAAAGCTTCATGATGTTGGGTTTGGTATGACGCCAAAGGAACCGGTATCAAGTGAAAATAGAGACTGTAGACTTACTGAAGATTAAAAAGGGTTGTGCACTGAAAGACACCTTAACAGAAAAAAAGGCAGCCCACAAAATGTAAGAAAATACTTACAAACCCTGACAGACAATTAATATGCAAAATACAGAGAACCCTGAAAACAGCAAAATACAGAACCCTATGAAAACTGGACAAGACAGACCTGATGTCTTTCTCCTAGGAAGATTGGTAATAGTAACAAGACCATGAAAAGTCCAACCTCAATAATCATTAAGAAAATGTAATTACAGCTACAGAGAGAGACGTGGGCTGTCACAACGACACCCCCTGCACAGCTATCACATACTAATAAAAACGTTAAAAAACCAAAACCTACAGGGGTGCCACTTGGCCCCCACTAGGACCATGCTGTCAAGAACACAGAAAATGATGTGTTGCTGTGTGTGCGTAGGGTCTCGAATGTCTCCCAGAGCCCATGAGATGAGGGCTGGGGCTTTTAGGAGGTCATGAGAGGTGTGCCCTTGGAGTCAGCCCTGGGATCTCTCCTTCGTGGCCACGAGTGAGCGGGTTTCCTGCCATGATGTGCTGCTCCCCACTCCCCCTGCCAGAGACCTAAAAGCAATAGATCCACCCGATCATAAACTGGATCGTCCAAAATTGAAGCAAAACAGACCTTTCCTCCTTAAGTTGATTTATCTCGAGTTTATTGCAGTGACAGAAAGTTAACCAGCACGTGAGTGTTGGCAAAAATGTGGAGAACTTAAGATCTTTGTGCACTGTAGGTGGGAATGTAAAATGGTGCCACCACGGTGGAAAACAGGTGGCTGTTCTTCAAAAAATAAATAGCTGGGTGCTGGTGGCTCACTCCTGTAATCCTAGCTACTGGAGAGGCAGAGATCAGGAGGATCATGGTTTGAAGTCAGCCTAGGCAAATAGTTTGTGAGACCCTATCAACACCACCAACACAAAGAGGGTTGGTGGAGGGCTCAAGAGGTAGAGTGCCTGACTAGCAAGCTTGAAGTCCTGGACTCAAACCTCAGAACTGCCAGAAAAAATAAATAAAAACAGACTACCTTGTTCACCAGTTCCACCTCTGGGTATGTGTCCAAAGCCTTGAGAGCAGATCTCAAAAACATTTTCACACCCACATTCATGCCAGCAGTATTCACAATAGCTAAAAAGTGCATGCAACCCAAGTGCCCATCAATAGACAAATGTACTGTTCGGTCCACTACTATTGGCAGATGTGGGCTGCACACACTGGAATGTTACTCAGCCTTAAAAAGGAAGGGCATTCCATACGTGCTCCAACATGGTCCTTGACACCGTGCTCATTGAGGCAAGCTAGTAGCAATGACCAGCACCACTCACGAGGCACCCAGAGGGTCAGACTTCCGGAGGTAGAAAATTGGCCACTTGCTGGGGTCTGGAAAGGGGACAGGTGATTAGTGTTTGGTGGAGACAGTTTCAGTGTGGGAAGAAGCTGAGGCAGACGGATGTGTTCACTCCACTGAATTGTGCACTTACTTGGCAAGATGGCAGACTTTGTCGTTTGTACTTTACAATAAAGACCTGGGACAAAAAAAATGGTTGGGCAGGACAAGTGAGTGAGTAGATGTTCAGTAAGACTTGCTTCAGAAAACAGCCAGTGTTGCTGATGAAAAAGGATCCTTTTTTCCCTCAGTGCCGAGTTACTTCACCTATCCTGTGGGCTGTGGACCACAGGTGTGGACAGCCAGCACTGGTGCCCTGGGAAGCCCCACACTCTGGCTAGGTTCTGAGCCCAGTGTTGTTGGGGCCCAGGGCCTCATGGGCTGGGGGAAGATGCGGACTGTCAATTTCTGCAGGGCAGGGAGGAGGCAGCATGGCCTCTATCAGAGTGGAGGCTGCAGAGGCAGAAGGCAGCAGTGGGGGAGGCTCTGCGTTGTGGCTGTGCACCAGGGCAGGCATGTTGGGTTGTCTGAAGGCAGCTCACGGGCATACCCATGTCTGGTTTACTGGAAGGAGGCTGCAATGACTTCCCTCCCACAAGTCCTCTGAGCTTGGAGCAGGCAGGACTTGAATTTCTCAGGAGACATCTCTCCAGTAGGGTGTCCCTGACCAGTGATCAGAAATGCATTTCTGCTGGCCATTTTTGTCCCTGGCACAGCCTGCATTTGCTGCTGTGTCTTGGCCATCTTGTCACAGGTGAGTACCTTTCCCCTGCACCTGCCATGCATGCGTGCAAGGATCTCTTTCTGCATACAGGGGCCTCCAGCACGGAGCTGGACAGTCCTGTGGCCTTATAGAGTGATTCTGTGTGTTCCCAGAGCACGGCGTGTCCACGCAGTCCCGATCTATTGGGTGCATGCTAACATTCTCACAGACACAGTGCAGGGCTGGCAAGCAATGAAAGACATTCCATATGTTCTCCATCACTTAGTTGCTCAGGGAACCGGTCAGTCTAGTTGCCCTTACACAACAGCTGTAAAGCTCTTCGTTTCTCATTGGCTTTCTCAGTGTGTGCTGGACAGATTTTTGTGTACCCCTGTCTTGTGCTATGCAGCTCACTGGCAGCGAGTGCGAGGCTGAAAACTAGCCTCACGGGGTTGTGTGGGTGAGTGTTGGGTGGCCTCTGTGGGAGACTTTGCTGTTCGGGTCCCTGTTCTGTTGGTTTTCCTGAAGGAAAACCTCACCTGCCTTCCTCCTAGAACCTCAAGTGTTTTGGATGCCAACCCGTACTTTGTGATTTTTTCTGTGTTGCACTGGAAATTGTAAAAAGGGGATTTCTAAAGAAGGAAATGTTTGTGCCAGGTGTGGTGTTGCATACCTGTAATCCAGGTCACGTAGGAATTATAGGTAGGAAAAATTAGAGGCCTTCTCTGACAAAAATAACTAAAACAAAAAGGGCTGGAGATGTGGCTCAGGTGGTAGAGAACCTGCCCAGCAAGGGTGAGGCCCTGAGTTCAAACGTAATATTACCAAAAAATAAAGAAGTATTTGATTTAATTTTTCTCCTGGATCACAAGACACGACTGTTTCACATAGAATGAGAGTAACTTTAATATACTTTGTTCTTACAGCTTAGCAGTTGCATCCTTAGAAGCAAGGATTCCGAACGTATGTTACCCAGGCTGTGTTTCATGCCAGGGTGTCCATAGTGTTATGATAAGATGGATCAGAGTTCATACTGATGTCTAGAAAAAATAAGTTACAGTAGGGTCATGATGTCTGTGTAGGAAAAGATGGGTCATTTAGGGTCCTGTTAATGGGGTGGATGCTGCCCTAGGTGACCACGCTGGCCCCCACAGTTTACCACAGTTTCCACCGAAAACTGAGGAAGGGTTAAGGGGAAGCAGCTGATGCTCGGGTGACCGATGGCATTGCCCCACGGCAGCAGCCTTGGCTCTGCACTCTGTGAGGTGACCACAACGCTGGCTGGCAGAGGATGCACCGCCACACGGAGCAGGAAGCGAGGCATCAGGCAGGAACACCCGCTCCTACTTCTGAATCTGAAGCTTGAACTCCACCTTTCCCTCATACGGGTCATGGGGGTTGTCAAAGGTCACATGGTCTGCAAGGATCTTGCACACGATGACGACTTCTGTGTTCTTGGGTACGTTGAGCAGCTTGGCTGCCACCAGAGGGTTGCTGTAGTGGGGCTGAAGGGATGCAGTGAGGTGAGATGCTCAGAAATACCCACGTGAAGGACAGCGCAGGGGTTGGCCCCAGGGGCTCTTTCCAGTCTGTCTGGGCAAGGCCTGCCTGCTGAGCAGCCCTGGGGCACACAGAGGACTGCCCCTTAGAAATGGTACATATCAGCGTGACTGCGGTGGTGGTGAGCACAGAGAGCGAGGGCAGAGAGTCTGTAGGCCAGTGGAGTGCCCAGGAGGCCACACTGCCATCACAGGAGCCCTTGCCACACCCAGGAATTGGGCTAGAACTCCCTACATCACACCCTGCTTTAATTTTGCAGAAAAATGCTTCGTGCTTTGCTTTTGTTGAATTTGAGACTAGTGGTAACTGGTGAGGGGCGGAGAGAGGCAAACCCTACCTGTGCTTTCTTCCCGTAGTAGGGGAAGTAGTGCAGACTGAAGGTGCCATTAGGTGGGTAGTACTCCACCTGCAGAGGCCCTGTGTCCTGCTGGAGCTTTCGGGACTCATCCTGAGGAGGAGAGACCACAGATGACTGAGTCTGGTGGGCGACAAGACACTGTGTATGCGCGTATGTGTGTGCGCGCATTTGTTTTCGAGAGTGCATGGGTGCCCCGTGCAGGTGATCACAGCAATACCTCATTGCACATTTGCATAAACTAGGTGGAGCCTTCACAATCAGTCTGAGGGTGGAGGAATGTAATTCCGAGTGCAAACCCCAACCACTTCCCATATACTTTCCCGTTTTGGAGTCTCACTGTGAGGGAACTAGAGAAAGCTGCCACTTGCTTATCAGAGTCCGGGAAGAAAGCCAACCAGCCACAAGTGCTTGTTGGTGTGGTTTTCTGGGAAAAGTGCAAACAACTTCCACGGGGTTCTTTTCCTTTCATTGTTAGACTTGGAACTGACCCATGGGCAGCTTAAGCTTATCAGAGATGCAGGGCGCTTTGGCCTCTATTAAATTTCAGGCCAGCATGTGTGGCCAAAACAACTGAAAAAGAAAGAAAAGCAAATGAGGGCCTGAGGCCCACGGCAGGTGGGGGGGAACAGAGGCATCGGGGACTGATGTTTCCACAGATTGCCACATGCTGTCTGTATGTCACAGACACCCCTGTGGAGCTGTGGCTGAAAACAAAACTTGTGAACACAATTTCGGTGTTTTAATGTTGCACTAGGAAGTGGCCTGTAACCTTAGTACTTGGGAGGTGGAGATTGGGAGGATCACAGTTCCAGGCCGGCTGGGGCAAAAAGTTTGAGAGACCCCATCTCAACCAATGACTGAATGCAGTGGTCACCCCCCACCTAGGCTGGGAAGCACAAATAGGCAGATCAAGGTCCAGCTGGCCTGGGCATAAATTGAGAACCTATCTCAAAAATAGCAGTGAAAAAGGGCTGGGGGCATGGCTCAAGCAGTAGAGTGCCTAAAAAGCTTGGAGTCCTGAGTTCAACACAGTACCACCAAAAAAAAAGTACTGAAAAGACCTGAAATTTGCCTCAGATTAATGCCGTCTCAGCAGTCCACATACTAACCCAGTTAAGCCACGGTGGCTGTTGGTCATCTGGAAGATTTTTATAAATAAGAAATGAAAAGAACAATGAGATAGAAGAATGGTGACTCTTGAGATGGGCTGGCCTAACTGGCAGAGCACCACACAGCAAGCACAAGGCCCTGAGTTCAAGCCCCAGAACTGCCTAAAAAAAAATGGTTCTCCCAAATTGCTGCAAGTGTTTTGAACTGTTGCTTCTGAGGGGAGGACCACAGCAGGAGAGTGTTGCTCCTTCCTCTGGGCCTTCACCCCGTCCCACCCTGGTGATGGCCACAAGGCCTGTGCACCTGGCTGACGTGGCTGATGGTTGACATGTCCCTGAGGGCTCTACTTGGGCCATTCCTCAAGCTCCCAGCCAGACAAGCAGTGGGCTTCGTTCTTGGGTGCTCCACTCACCTGGAAGGCACAGTCTACTCGGGGCGGCGTGTCATTGCTTGGGAGAAACTTGACAATCTGGAAGACAGCAATGAGGAGGGAGCCCCTCATGGGGGGTCACTCGCAAATACTTCACTCCCCCTCCCCAGGTGCTGGAGAGAGGCTCTCTGCAGTGGCAGAGATGGGACAGGTGGCAGTAGAGGAGTGGTGACCACAGACTACATCTACTCCAGGGGCTCTCTCTGGCCATCCTCTGCTCTCTGAGCTCTTCAGCTACCTCTTCCAGTCCCTCCCCTAACCTCACCTGGGGCTGTGTGGCACCCACCTCACTGCACACCTTCTCTGGACTTCTCCAGCCCCAGCCGTCCACTCAAGCTCTGATCAGGACCCGCCATTGAACAGATGTGTCAGTTTCCACAGCCCAGATGGAGCCCCATCCCAATCCTCCTGTTGACCGGCCACTCGTGATGTGTGCAGCACACAAGTGTGTGGCTCCCCCTAGGCCTTTAACATGGAAATACACAGTGTGGCTGCCTGGAGTCTTACTTGCTGGTGGGTCTCTGGAGCTGGACTGTGGGTGTCCTTTGCTTAGACTTTCCTGCCCCTTGGGCCTTGGCTCCGTCATCTCCTGGGCCCACAGAGGCATCATGCCCTTTCTGCTGTTTGCTCACTGTGGCTCTGTCCTCACAGCATGGAAGGGACCACTGGAGCCCCAGTGCCAACCCCAAGGGGCTGCATATCTGATGCAGAAGGGGCCCAGGTCCCAGGTAAATTTCTTGCTGTAGACGCTTCTGGCCCCTCCCATCCTAACTCCACACACCAAGACCCCTGCACATGGCCCCAGCTTCTCCTTCAACAGCCCTGTGCCCGACTGCTTGCTCAGAGGTCACAGTGGTAGAGGGCCTGCAAGGCACTCATATCTGAGTGGTCGCTCTAGATGAGTGTGCAAGCATGTGCTGAGCAGGGACAAGGAGCAGCAGTCAGCTCCCAGGATTAGTCCTTCTGTGTGTGTGAGGGCTCTCTAGGGCCTTGTCCAAGCAGATCTTTCGTACTCACCCTGTTCATCTTAATAATGAAGCATGGCTTTCCTTCTTCAAAGCCAAAGTCAGGGTCCTCCAGGCCCGAGCAGTTTTGCAGCATGTCTGCTGTGAACTTGCAGGAGAACTTGGTGTGGTTTGGAGCTAGGAAGCTCTCCTGGAAGAAGTACTTATCAGAGGTGCAGTTGATGCTGTCCTGCTGGGATGCCGGAGTGTAACCTGCAGAGAACACACCACGGGCAGACACCATCCTCTCCAGCAGCCAGTGACTGGGCTGTCCAGCAAGCCGTGAAGCCTTGGGCCCCTGAGAGACTTTCTTAGGAAACTGAGCCACGGAACCACGTCAACCTACCTGCTAGGAAGCTGTGGAGGGTGTGTGTGAGGCTGGCCCAGGAGCTGTTGTCAGAGACGTTGTAGGAAATCTGCAGACCTCTCTCCCCATAGACATCAGGCCTCAAGGTCACCCCTGGGGAGACAGTGCTATGTTGACTGACGGTTTCTCCAGGTGCTCACTCACATCCCCGCCTTCTGCCCCAAGGTCTTGAGTCTCGCATAGGATTGTGGGAGCCGGGACAAGCATGGGAGCTGTGACGAAAGTTGGCCCAGGTCCTCACGCATCCCATGAGGAGGGAGTTGCAGGCTGTGCTCCCTCTGGCCGAGAAAACTTGGTGGTGGCATCATGAAGAAGGGCCCCAGGATCTGAGGATGTGGGGCCCTGGCACCCCACCTGCTAGCCAGAATGCAGCATGGTGGGGGAAGGGGGTGTGAAGTCCAGGCCTGGCAGCAGCAGCTCACGCTCTGCTCTGCAGGGGATCCTGAGCTTGGGGGGGGGGGCAGGGAACCGGACAGACGGCTCTTGTTGCTATCAAAGGTGAGAGCTCCCTGGAGCCTGCAGCTGGCTCTCTAAATGAAAAGAAATCTGAACTCATCACAAAATCTTTACTGGTTTTTGTTAAGGACAAAAAAATTATCTAACAGCATGTTAATTATTTAAAAAAAAAAAAAAAAAAAAGAAAGAAAAAACTTCCAAGTGTGGGAGAATAGGACGTCCACTGGGCGTTGCTTTGTTTCAACCAATGTGGATGGGTGTGAACTTGGTTCGGCTTCAAGCCATCCAACCCTTCTCTTTGTCATTTTCCAGTGCGGTTGCAACTCTCCCCACAGGCTCTCATGGTGAATGTCTGCGTTTTGTTTGCCCAGTCCCCATCAGCGTGGCTGGCCCTTAATGTGTAAGCCAGGGCTTTGTTTGGGGGGTGGGGGTGACAGGAAAGTAACAGCTATAACATGGTTTAAAGTGGAATCCTTTGGAGGGGAAAAGGGGAAAGTTCCTTTCTTGGCCTCTGGGGCAGCGGAGCCCTGTCCTTCTCCCTCCCCAGGTGGCCGAGTGGGACTTTGCTCCCCAGGTCCTTGCTTTCTGGCTTCCCGGGCCTGTGCCTGCCAAGTCTCCTGCACATCTTTCCAGAAATGTCCTGTGTATGGGTAGCATAGACGGTGGGGACAGACCCCCCTCCTCTCTGTGACAAACCCTTCTGTCTTAATAGTTAAAATGAAAGCCAAGGTCAGACTTTATAATTGGGGTCTTCATCAGAAGAAGCCGTGGGGCCCTCTCTACCCCGGGTCTGCGAGTGAGCACAGGCTGAGTGCCGTGTCTCTGCCATGTCTCTGCCTCCTGGTGCCTACCTGGCGACTTTAGCTGGTCCTGGTAGTCAGGTGTGTAGGGGTCAATAGTCTGCATCAACGTGTAGATGCACAGGGCGAAGAGTCCAGTCATCACTATGTAGAAAGCCACGTAGTAGAGGCTGATCCACACTGCGGGGAGACTCGGGGTTAGAAGGCCAGGTGGTTGAGGCCGGTCCAACCACAGAGAGACACGGGTTAGACACAGCCATGCCTATCTCAGCAGTTGAGAAGGAGGGCAAGGCACCCACCCATGGCTTTCTCCACCTCATAGCACAGTGTGGTGGTGTGCAGTGCCCCACAGTGCTGACCTCCAGCCCCACCCTGCTTCCAGAACCTTGTCATCCAGGTGGAAGCCCAGCCCCTCAGCACTCCTGCCCTGCACCTTGTCTCTGACCTGCCTGTTGCAGATGTTTCTGTTAAACAGAACCACGTGGTGCATGTGTTGCTTTGTGTTGGTTCCTTTCATTGCCGCCAGTGCATTAGAGGTCACCATGGATGCTTGGCCATGGTGCACCCATAGCCTGTCCTGTACCCCAAGATAGGAATTCCTGTTCCCCACATTACAGGAAGGGAAACTGAGGCAGATAGGGCGGCTGCTGCCCATGGCAACCCCCAGTGCTCTGTGGAGCTGGAGTTTGGGCCAGTTCCACCCTAAGAACCTGGCAGGGTGGCCTGCCCTGTGTCCTGAAGAGAGGAATAGCGAGGGTGTGCTGGACGGGACAGGCTGCCACTTCAAGGGTCAGTAGAGGAGGCAAGAAGAGCAGTGAATGTCCTGGGTATGGAGGAGGTTCAGTCGGCAACGTGGCATGACCCCTTTTTGACTCCTTTGGGGTGCAGTGGACATGGGCAGCTGTGGAGTCTCCACCTTCATGTTTTCAAACTTGTGATGAAGCCAGCGTTGCTTCAGAGCACACCTGTCCACAGAGGAGTCACTTTGGCTTGCTGTGGTCTTTCTGGGAAGTCAACAGAAAGTGGGCCTGTTTTTTGTCCCCATGGTGTGGGAGTGGATTCCTTCTACCACCTCATTCTCCAGTGACCTAAAACTTGATCAAAGGATAGGACCAAGTCAGTATTGACAACAGGAGGGCGGGGTGCTATAGACCCGAGGCTGTGACCCATGGGGGTGGCCAATGCCTTCTCCTTCCAGCCCAACTTTCCAGAAAAGTGGGAACAGCAACAGGTCTCTGAGCTGGTATCACTTCCTCCAGGATGCTGAGGACAAACGCCAGCCTGTCTCAGAGCTGTGGTCACCGATGGTCAACGCCAGCAACACGTGGTGGCCTTGTTCCCTGGTCCAGGCATCTGTGTGTGGACAGCAGCAGCTGCCTGCCTGAAGCCTGTTTATCATCACCGGATCGTCCTCTGTTCACCAACTCAGCTTGGCACTGCAGGGGTGGCCTGCCACGTGTGTGTCAGCAAGGGGACAGCAGAAGGGAATTCTTCACGGGATGGTGGCCGCCTGACTGGGGTTCTGTTTAACTCGCTCATCCCCACTCCCAGACCTGAGCTCCCCGCAGGTAGGAATATTGCAGGAATCTTGGCTTTGTTTGCTGCTTGGTGCTTCATGTCCACGACACAGCCTGGCTCACAGAGATGCTTCCTGACCTTGGGGTGAGGCTCCATCAGCTCATGGGGAGCAGGTGGTACTCATGTCTCCCAAGTGCCCACGAGGGATGCTGGTTTTGCCGTCATGTGGGGCACTTCCACTGACTCAGCCTCACAGTCCTGCAGGGTGGGCTCATCACTGCCCTCACGGATGGGGAAACTGAGGTTCTGAAGGCTGGGGTGAAACCACCTCTTGCAAGGGCACTGCCATCAGCCCACTTGCTGCTGGTGCAGTGAGCACCACGTTTGCCAGCTGGCTGAAGGCCATGTGCAGAGCAGCTGGGAAGAGTGACACTAGATGGCTTCTGGGCCCTGGCCAGCCTCACGGGCAGCCTCCATGCGCTGCCTCTCAGCCTCAGTTTCCCACCTGGGAGCACGGATGATGCCAAAGAGCCTGAAGCTGTTCAGTGGGGAAAGGCAGCACAGAAAGAGCCCCACATCTCTGGGCACCTCTCCCCTGACTGTTTGATAAACCCCTCCTTTTATGAATCAGTTTTCCTGTTCTTTGATTTTTGCCATGTCACTTGACTTGTGTTTTCCTCCAACCCTGACACTCTCAGCCTGGTCATTCAGGCTGTGTCCTCCAGTCAAGCAGTGAAACTGTTCTGGAAAGTTCTGAGGATGTTGCATCTGGCGAGGTGTGCAGGAGCCGCAGAAACTAGAATTGCCCACAAGACGGGGCTCCTGATGGAATGGCTGGCAGCCCCAGCCTGTGCTCCAGGACCCCAGCTGCTGTCCCTTGCCCAGTTGACCAGCTGCCCGGGCCGTCCTCAGTCCCAGCCAGTGTACCCTTCCACCATGTTTGCACCCTGGCCCTGGATGTGATTAAGTCACGGACCCAGGGCACCATCCAGGGCACCCTAGGAGTTCACAGAGCCTCCAAGAGTGCGTCATGTTGGCGTCAGCATGTAATGTACTTTACAGCCAGAGGCCCAGGACATTTGGGTTGGGTCGGTGGAATTGTCCCAGGAGGACCTCACCAAGTGCCCACACCTCTACAGGTTGACTCCTCATCTCAGCTGCAGATGGAGCAGGAGGCAGGGTTGGCTGCCATGGTCTCCCTCACATGTGCATGGCCCGGTGGGGCCTGGGACTGTTCCCCCACTTGGCTTTCGTGGGGACGCTGAGGCTCCAGCCAGGGCCTGGCCTTCCATATCCTGTCTTCCCAGCTGGGGCAGCACTGTAAAAGCCACCTGGGGTCCCTGTCTGAGACATTCCTGGATGAGCAGCAAAGGCTCCAGAGTTCTGAGGTCTGGGGAGGACAGACCTGAGGGGACTCATTCTTCTGGGGTCCCGGGGACACTTTCTGTTTGCTGAGGACTTGCCTTGCTAGGGCACGTCCTGGACCAGTTAGGGCAATCCCACTGTCAGTGAGAACATTCTTCCTCCTGTAGTGGCCTGAGAGGTCACCAGGCCTTTCCTTTTGCTCCTTCCTAAAAGAAAGGGCTGGGTCAGCCACAAGGGCAAGGGGGCTTTGCAGCCAGCTGGCCTTGTTCACCTTGTTCCATGTGCAGAGAGCAAGGGCTGCTCTGGGTGCTTGAGATGCATGCAGCCTGGGAAGCAAGGACCCCCAAATATACCTAGCATGTTGGGGACTCACTTTGAGTCTCACATCTGACACCTTGTTCGATTGGTTAATTAAACCCATGTCCCTCAAATTATCTAACCAAAGCACCACCATCGCCTCTTGTAAAATTCTTTAAGAAAATTCAGTTTCAGAAACACAGCTTTAAAATGCTGTTCTCAAACATGGATGACAATCTGGGTGTTCCCGCCCTGCAGGCATTCTAGAGTTGGAGCTCAGGGGCTTTTGGGGACCCTGGCTTCCTGCTGAGGCTCAGCCTGCAGTCTGTCCCCACATATCCTGGGTCCTTCCTGCTGGTTGGTGGCCCTCGTTTGTCCTACATCCCTCCACCTGCCCACACGTACCCCACCGGGCCGGGGTGCGGCCCAACATCTGCCCCGTGTCCGGATTCCAGCAGTAGCGCCGGAATTCTGCCATCCTCTGGCTGCACGACTTCTTCTCCTGCAGAGCCGCCATGGCTGAGTCAGGTCTCCCTTCTGCTTCCCTCCTAGGCCTCTTTTGGGGCTTATATCTCCTCCGTGAGAGGTCAAAGGCATGGGAAGGTTTATCAGTTCTCACTATCACTCTCCAAATACAAGGCAGGCCTGTGGGCGACAGTGGCCGTGGCGCTCTCCTGCTATCTGCCCTCTACCTGTCCCAGGTCCTTGGGATGCCCTTGGTTGGTACCTTGATAGGCCCTGATAGTGACTAGGGGAGAAAGAGCACTTGCCGACTGTGCCTCTCGTCTCCTTCATGAGGTGAAACACGAACAGCACAGGTCCCAGTCAGGCGCTGCAGGCCTGAGCCAGTCCTGCTGCCACTCACCGGCCTGAGACCCTGGCTGCTCTGAGTCTCACCTCCTCATCAGGATGGCCTACAGAGAGAGCCTGAGATGGACCTCGTGCTGCCTGGAGGGGCCCTTCTTGTCACCCTCTAACAGCAGGGGAGTGGAATCACAGTGGGGCAAGTGTTGGAAATACCATGTGGATGAGGCCAGAGGCTGGGTCAGTCAGGGCCCATGAGATAGTGTCCTTCTGTTCCTTGTTGTAATGTCCTCCTGTCCCTTATCGGGGGTGGGGCTGGAGTCCCTTTAAAATTATTGTTGCCCATGGCGGAATTCCCAGTCATGGGTCTAGAGTATGGGCTGTGTTCAGGTCCTGCCTGGCATTTTGCCAATGAGGTTCTAATACAGGGGGCACTGGGACCAGAGGCTCTGAATTTCTCATGCTCCTGGTGGGCCATGGTGACAGCTGGGACCACAGCAAGAATCCAGCCAAGGGATGTACCTGAGCAGCACACAGAGGGTCCAGGTGCTGGATACCCACCCCCACCTAACAGTCTGATGGTCCCTTTGCTGTGGAGCTGACAGGAAGAGCTCCAGGTGACCCAAGTGTGCAGCCATGTCAAAGCCCCTGTGGGGAGGTTACACGTAGCAGGTGCCTTGCCGTCTGTGGGCCAGCGGGTCCACCTGTGAGGGCAGTAGGAAGGGGAGGCCAGGCAGATGGACATGTTACATTCTTTCTATGAGTACCTAAGGCAGAGTCCAGTTGGAATAGTCTAGGTGTAGAATACCTAGAGTACGTACAGCTAGAATTTTGTTTATTATCACATCTAGGCTCTCCTGCTCGGGCACCCATATAGTCAAACTGGTTTCTGTGGGAAGGAAAACAATGAAAATTCTCTTGCCACTACTTTGCCCTTTTTTTCCTTTGGGGCAGTTGAGTCAGTCTATAATAAGCACCTTCAAATTTAAATGCAACTACCTTATTTTTGTAAGGTAGTTGTAATTTCTCAATGAGCGAGTCCTACACATGTTCTTCAACACTGGAACCATTTATGGCTTTGAGATGTTAGGGCAACGGAGCAGAAGTGTGGGAGCACCCTGTGGTCTTAGCCGTTCTCAGCACTGGGGCCCAGTGTGTGGGTATTTGAAAATACCATCATCTGTTTGTGAGTATAAAGATGCTCTCCAAAAGAGCAAAATGTGAATTCTTTGAACCTCTCTGAACTCTGTCTTCATGACTTGTCTCTGAGTTTCTGGAAGGAGGCACGTGGACTGCACACACATTATCACAATGACCTGGACACAAGCCTGTGGGAGGAGGGGCTGAGACCTTGACAGAGGGCAGTTTGCCCACAGCTCCAAGGACACAGAACTAGGTGCCCCACAAAAACACCTCAGGGGATGGGGGCCCTAGACCATCATCCACCTGGCAGCTATAAAGCACCCCTCTCCCTCCTGACCTTAGAGGCATCAGGATGGTCAGGACTGTGACCTCCACAATAGGAGCACAGCCATCCCCTGTGGTGTCTGTGGAACCCACACAGGAGCCAGAATTCTATCACCCAACAGTGATGAGGAGCCCACCCTGGGCTCACCAATGGGGAACCTAGACTTCCACACAGACATACCCTTATTTCCCAAGTGATATGAAAATGCCTAGTTTCAGTTGGTGATTGGTCATCACACAAAGAACCAGGGAGGTTTCAAAGTGAAGATGGTCAAGAGGCACCAATAAGAAAGTGACATGTTTATTACCTGAGCATGATTTTAAGGCAGCCATGATTAAAACGCTTGGATCAGCAATTATGAATATGCCTGAAGTAAATGAGAAAATAGAGAACCTTGGCAAAGAAATAGAAAGCTTAAGGAAAAAAAGTTAAAAGAACATAGAAATTTTATTTGAAAAATGCAATGATCAAACTTAAGAGAGGGTTTAATAGCAGAATGAAGGGGACAGAGGAGAGAATCACTGACACACAAGATGAAACAGTAGAAGACACGCTTTGGGTGTCGGGGGCCCATGCACCATAGCAGAAGAGCTTCCATCCGTGTCATCAGAGTCCTGGAGGGGCACAGAAAGATAACAGGGCTAAAAAGGAGGAGGAGGAGGAGGAGGAGGAGGAGAAAGAATGCTGAAACTCCCTAAACTTGGCAAAAGGTGTAAACCTGAAGCTTCAAGAAGATGAGTGAACCCCAAGCAGGACACCCTGCAGTTCATACCAAAGTGTGTCACAGTGAAACCTCTGAAAACCAGACAAGAGAAATACTCGAATGTAGCAGAGCTCATCAGACACTGGGGACAGAAGGAGATGGCACAATAATATTTGAAAGAAAAGACCAAGCAGAATCCTAAAGCTAGAAAACCCCTCAGGAATGAAGGGAGAATTCGGACATTCTGAAATGAAGGAAAAGTTACAAAATTTGTTGTCACCACACTTCCTCTATAAGAATATGTAAGGGAGGTTCTTAAAACAGGAAGAAAATGATAAAGAAGGAGCCCTGAACACCAAGAAGGAAGGAATAACACATGAAAGAACATGAGTAAATTTTAGACTCATTTACTTCTTGAGTTTTAAGTTATTTCCAATGACTGAAGCAAAAATGATAATATTGAACAATTCTAAATGTGTGTACAGGAAATAATTAAGATAATTACATTATTATGAACAGGGAAGACAAAAGGAGGTAAGGTTTCTATATTTCACTTAAACAATAAAATGACAACATCAATAGAATGTGATAATTTATGTATATGTGATGTAATGCATAGAGCAGCCAATAAAAAGATATAGACTAAAACACTATAGATAAATCAAAATTGAATTCCAAAAACTGTCCAAGTAACTCATAGGAAAGCAGGAGGAAGAATACAGAGAAACAAAAAAGAATAAACAGAATAAATAAAACAGAAGAAATGAGCCCTACAAATCAATAATTGCATTAAGAATAAGTGGTTTAAATACATCAATCAAAACACAGAGATTTAGTCAGGTGCCAGTGGCTCACACCTGTAATCCTAGCTACTCAGGAGGATCGTTATTCAAACCCAGCCTTGGCAAATAGTTTGAGAGACACTATCTTGAAAAATACCCAACACTAAAAGGACTTAAGTGGTAGAGTTCCTGCCTAGCAAGCATGAGGCCCTCAGTTCAAACCCCAGTAGAGCCAAAAAAAAAAAAAAAGATTTATACAGTGGATAAAGACATAAGAGCCAACTCTGTGTTATCCATAAGAATGTCTCTTTAAATTTGATACAGGAAGGCTGGATGGGAAAGGCTATGCCATGCAAATACCAATCCAGGGAAGCAGCTCTGACTCCCTCAATATCATATAAAGTAGACTTCAGAGCAAGAAAGCTAGCAGAGACCTAGAGGGACTTTGTGTAACAATCAATCTGCCAAGAAGACCTAGCAATCCTCAATGTCTATTCACAAATCAAAGAGCTGCCACATGTGAAAAGCAAACGCAAAGAACTGAGAGGAGAAATAAACAACTCCGCAATTACAGCTGGAGACTTCACTCCTCTTCCTTCAACAATTGATAACAAACCGAACAGAGAGTCAGAGGGGGCGGGGGGAAGGGGGGAGAAATGACCCAAACAATGTATGCACATATGAATAAAATAAAAATTAAAAAAAAGCAACAGAGTCAGCAGGGATAAAGAAGTCAACAGTACCACCAACTGAAGGATGTTATGCCGAACGCTCCAGTCAACAACAACGCAAGTGGGTGCAGTGGCTCACACCTGTCATCCTAACTACTTGAAAGGCAGAAATTGGGAGAATTGTGGTTTGAGGCTAGCCATGGCAAAAAGTCAGAGAGACTCCATGTCAACCAATAAAATGCCAGGCATGGTGATGCATGTTTGTCATTCCAGCTACTCAGGGCAAAAAAGTGATGCCCTGCTCAAAAAATAGCTAAAATAAAAAGGGCTGGGGGCATGGCTCAAGCCGTAGAGCACTTGGAATTCCAATTCCAGGACTGCCAAGACAAACCAAAACCAACCAACCAACCAAAAAACCATAGAGTACTGTGACTCACGAAAAGGAAGGAACTGTGGATACACCACCGCCTGCGTGAACCTCCAAAGAATTACGCCAGCGAAAGAGCCAATTCCGGGGTCACGCGCGGGTGGTCCCGTGAACAGTGTTCTCGCAATGGCACGGCGTAGCAACGAACAGATCGGTGGTCTCCAGGGCTGAGCGGGTGGGTGGGCAGGGGGTGGCTGCAAAGGCAGCAGCAGGGTCCTGGTGGGACGATGTCCTGCGTCCATTGCACTGATGTCAGAATCTGCCGAGATGCTGTGCTGTGGTTTGGGGAGCACTGGGGATCTCTCGCTTGTTCCTCACAACTTCAAGAGAATTTAACATTATCACAAAATAGAAGTTTAATTTTATTAAAAAGGATTCCCAGAGACGAGTTTGGGAGATGCTGCCTACTGTGCCCCTCTTAGAGAGCCAAGTGTGCTATAAAATCTCTGATCAAGTCCTGGGGTAGAAAACAATTCTAATGCCGGTAGCCAAATGCTTTCCAGCATAGCTGATTATGGGACAGCCTGAAGTGGTCTCCTCAGTCCCGTGTCTCATGCAGTCCTGACCTGCAGCCTCCACAACACCTGGGAGTCAGAGGTGCAGGTGTGAGACCCACGCGGGCTCACTGGCCAGAATCTGGACTTGGTCTGGCTCAGGGTGCACTGGGAAATGAAACAGAGGCCACCCTGGCCATCACAGAATCACAAGAACCATGTCCTCTGATCCCAATGGGGCAGGAAGGAGTTAATGTGTCTGGCCCAAGGTCACCAGCTGCTAAGTGGCAGGGCTGGGATTAGCACAGGTCTTCTGGGGACGAGGGATGTTTGCTCACCTCAAATATTTACTCACCAGTTCACCTCCCATAAGCCCTTGATAGGAGGCTGTGGGGCCGTGGCTGCTTGGCCCAGAAGGCTCTAGTTTCTGCCTCATTGGTCACAACAGAGGTCCCTATCCCCACCTGCAGAATCCCAGTGCCAACCTAGATGAGGCAGATGGGTTGGACGGTCCTCCCCTCTCCCTGGCTCAGACCTGCTTCTTTTCTGAGGCCCCTCACTTCCTCTCCTCTGTAAGCTGGGGCAAACTCCTTGCTTACTTCCTTGTGGTTCTCCCCTAAACCATTATCAATCACCTACCATGTCCTGGAACGAGACCCACGTGGCTGTGCCCTCTTGGAGCTGACACTCCTACCATTCTACCATGCCAGGTGTGCCCCCCCTGAACCTCGGGTGTACCTCAGATGTGTCTCAGATGCATCCCTGGTGTGCCCAGGTGTTTTCTGGGCCTCTTCGTTCTGCGTATGTGTCTGACTCACTCCGATAACCCTCAATCAGAGTGTAGCTCTGCCAGGAGAGTGCACCTGTTCCCTGATCCTGTCACCTGTCTCATCCCTTGCAAATTGGAGCTGGTTATTCAGCAGGTGCCCACGGTCTCATCTGTGGACTGTGGGGGTTTCACTCAGATTCCTGTTATCAAGAGAATTGCTTCTTGCTGTTTTCTTGAAAATAAACCACCCTGCCATGTATACAAATGAGGGATTCTTGGGACTCCTCCTCTCCCTCCAGACCTGAATCTCTTGAGGAAACAGACAGGTCTCTGTCTCCTCTGCTGAGGGGTGACAGTCTGGAAGGAATCTGGTGCCCTCCCAGGGGCCCGGGGCTTGCCCTTCCTACAGGAACATAAAGGTAGCCCCAGGAGGAGGGAGCCAAGCCAAACCCTCTGTCTAATCTGATTTGGAGTGGCTTAGAGGATTGTCTTTTTCTGGCACCTACTGGTCACCCCTGTAGTGTCCTCTGTGACCTCAGTGGGATTTAGCTAGATGCTGTGTTAGCCCTGGGTTCTCTGGGGTTTCCCAGCGGGTCCCCAGGCATCCTTGCCACAGCTGGGACACTTTCCTTGTCCCACAAGGACAGAAAACAGGCCATAGGCCAGGGGCGTTGGAGCCAGGCCTGCTCTGGCTGCAGGTGCCGCGGGCTTGGCTTCAGCTTATGGCTTCTCATGCCTAAAGTGGACAAAAGGCTGCGTCAGGATGGATTTTGGGTCCTTGGAAACGGTGGTGGCCAACTCTGCTTTCATCGCCGCCCGGGGCAGTTTTGATGGGAGCAGCACCCCATCTTCCCGGGACAAGAAGTACCTGGCCAAGCTCCGGCTGCCCCACTGTCCAAATGTGAAAGCCTCCGAGACAGTATCAGCCTGGGGTTCGAGAGCATGTGCTCAGAGCAGCCCATTGGCAAGCGGCTCTTCCAGCAGTTCCTGAAGACTGACGAGAGGCACGTGCCAGCACTGGAGCTCTGGAAGGACATTGAGGACTACGATATGACAGACGATGACCTGCGGCCACAGAAGGCACAGGCCATTGTGGCTGAGTACCTGGACCCCCAGGCCACACTCTTCTGCAGCTTTCTGGATGAAGGCACTGTAGAGAGGGTGAAGGAGGGGCCAGCCGGGAGCCAGGACGGGCTCTTCCAGCCCCTGCTGCAGGCCACGCTAGCACACCTGAGCCAGGCCCCCTTCCAGGAGTACCTGGACAGCCTGTACTTCCTGAGGTTCCTGCAGTGGAAGTGGCTTGAGGCCCAGCCGATGGGCGAGGACTGGTTCTTGGACTTCAGGGTCCTGGGTAAAGGAGGCTTCGGGGAGGTGTCAGCCTGCCAGATGAAGGCAACTGGCAAGATGTATGCCTGTAAGAAGCTGAACAAGAAGCGGCTGAAGAAGAGAAAGGGGTACCAGGTAGGCTGTGCAGTGAGCTGACAGGATGCTCTCGGGTTGCAGGTGGGCCAGGAGGCTGGTGGGATGGAGGGTACCTGCCAAGACACCTGTGGAGCTCTGCACCTCAGCTGCCGCATGCTCCCCTGCCTTAGGAGCCTCCTGGGTCTAGCAGTCCTCGGCAGGGTCCTAGTCCATCTGTCCGTACATCAGGAGCAGTTTAGGGGAAGAGCTCCTTGTGGGGAGCTCTGAGTGTGCACCCTGCTGTCTGGAAACCTCTCCCCACAGCCTTGCTTGCACTGTGGCCAGACACACAAGGAATTGAGGCAGGACTGCCATGGCATCGTTTACTCAAGGCAGAGCCTGTCTGAGACGCTGGGTGCAGGTTTTCCAGGGAACAGGAGGGAATGGGAGGCAAACACAGGCTGCCTACCTTTTACCCACCCCACACTGGTGCCAGAGCGTGCAGCAAGGACAGAATCACTGGAAGCTGCTTAGTATCTGAGGGGTACAGCCCTGAGGCAGCCCCCGCTGGAGGTTCATCAGTGCTGACATCAGGCTGGACAGAGCCCATCGTCACAATCTGTGGGCCCCTGACCCTTTGGTGAAAGGTCAAATTCGGGTGCTAATAGCAATGGCTGAGTGGAAGTGCCTGGCAAATCGAGGGCATCCTCACCAGGGACCGCAGGGTTGGAGTAATAATGCTTCGTGTGACCTACCAGTGTCTTTTAAAGACCAGCTTTGTCAAGATGCAATTCACACCCCAGGGTGTTCACGTCTAACTGCGGTGTTAGTGCAGCCAGTAGAGTCTCTCTGACTTCAGTACCCTGAAGGGACGTGGCGGGCAGAGTGAGGTCAGACTGCTGCCTTGTCCCTTGCACAATGCGCACGTCACAAGGGCTTCGATGGAGAAAATGGTGAAGCTGGAGGATGGAAGGCAGATCAGGGATGGGCGATGGCCCATGGTGGGTCACCCGCTTCAGCAGACCCCACCTCTGCCCCGAGTGAATTTGCACGTCCAGTGTACTCTGAAGCAAGCACCTGAAACGCCTTTTTAGGTTATTTTAATTATTTTTGAAAACGTCTTGCAAGTTTGTCCACTGGCTGCAGGCCCCTTGCCACAGTGTCCTGTCTGTGGATGACCTGGCACCCAGTCCCTTCTGCTCCAGGGCGCCATGGTGGAGAAGAGGATCCTGACCAAAGTGCACAGCAGATTCATAGTGTCTCTGGCCTATGCATTCGAGACCAAAACTGACCTCTGCCTGGTGATGACCATCATGAACGGAGGTGACATAAGGTAAAGGCTGTCCATCATGTGGGGCTGGAGCCCTGGGGGGCCTGGGACCTACTGAGTGTTCCACATCCCTGTGCAGCATTCATGAGGTATTTGGTGGGGGGACGACAGTGGGTATGAGGTGCTGTGGACGGGTGTGGTGGAGCAGGACATTGCTGCGGGTGAGGGCCTTGGATGAAGAGGTGGGAGACAAAGATGAACGCCATCAGTGCCCACTCCTGGAGGGACAGAGAGCTGAACTGACTGTCAACCCAGGAGCCTAGCTTGGTCACTGCTGGCAGGGGAGGATACCACGGTTGGCCCTGACTCTGGGCTTCGCCTCACTCTGGGGCTGGCCCTGGGCCTCCAGAGAAGTCAGGCCACCTGCTCTGAGAGGGGAAGGAGTCACTTGCCTGTTGGGTGACTTGCTTGCTCTTTGCTTCAGTTTCCTGATCTGTAAAGTGGAGGTAAATAATAATCCTAAGTCCAGAGGTGTTATGAGGACTAAGTTGACACAGGCTAGACCCTTGGGTGCTGGTGCATGTAGGATTTCACCAAAGGAAGCCATCGTCACAGAGGTACTGGGCCTGCACACCCTTGTCTGCCTTCATTCCATCTATACTCCTCAAGCGTCTGGAAGCCTGTTTTCCACATGGGCCAGACACACAGCCAGTCCGAGGTCCCCAGGAAGGGTCCCTAGAGAGAGGCAAGGCTGTGAGAAGGGCAGGCGTGCTGGCTTGTGCAGGAGGACATGTGCGGCTCTTTCCAGCAGCATGGGTTGTCTTTCAGGCTCCCGTCCATGCCCACCCTCCCTGAGGTCACTCATGCCTCCCGGCTGGTGGGCTCTGATTCTCCGAGAATTGTGAGAGTGGCCAGCATAGGAAGGGACAGACATTGTGAGAGAAGGGACTGTAGTAAAAGCTGCTGCAAAGGTTCAGGGTTGGCCAGGGCAGCCGGCATGTCAGAGACTGTGAGCGCTCGTGCTGGTCCAGCCTCCATCAGCCCTATTCATCCCCGCGGCTGCCTTACAGTCAGGAGGCGAGGTGTACACAGGGTGAGCCTCTTCTCCCTCTAACGTTGTAGGGTGTGGGACAGCTGAGGCCACCAGCAGTCACTTGGGCTTCTCCAGATGGATGTGGAGACTGAGCGATTGTGTTCTGTGCCGACACAGTGGGCTTCGAGGCCCTCGCTCTGTGTCTGGGCTTTACTCCCCTTTCGCCCTGGCGTGAGCCTCCCTGCTGTGCTCTGCCCCAGGAGGCGAGGTGTACACAGGGTGAGCCTTTTCCCTCTAACGTTGTAGGGTGTGGGACAGCTGAGGCCACCAGCAGTCACTTGGGCTTCTCCAGATGGTTGGAGACTGAGCGATTGTGTTCTGTGCCGACACAGTGGGGCTTCGAGGCCCCTCGCTCTGTGTCTGGGCTTTACTCCCCTTTTGCTGGTGAGCCTCCTGCTTGCTCTGCCCCAGGTACCACATCTATAACGTGGGAGAGGGAAACCCCGAGAGGCTCTGAGGGACAGGGTCGGAGCTGCAGTGGGATGCAGGTGCCCAGGACCCTGCACTGAGCAGAGCTAGCAGTTTGCGGCCATGGCAACTGAGCCCCTGGACACACACTAAGGCTGTGGCTGCAGTGCCGGGAGACAGAAAGTGGAGGAGGAAACCAAGTCCCAGTGCAGCCTTGGCTCTGCGGCCCTTGGTCAGGCCAGGGAGTGTGTGTGCATGTGTGGTGTGTGAGATGTATATGTGCATTGTATGTGGAGTGTGGAGTGTGTATGACGTATGTGTGTATGGTGTATTTGTGAAGGGTGTGAATATATTGGCCCACATGTGTGTGCATGGTGTGTGTATGTGTGTGATGTCAGTACATGGAGTGTGTACATGTGTGGTATGACTGTGTACATGGTGTGTGGTATGTGTGCATGGTGTGACTGTGTACGTGGTGTGTGGTATGTGTGCATGATGTGACTGTGTACGTGGTGTGTGGTATGTGTGCATGGTGTGACTGTGTACGTGGTGTGTGGTATGTGTGCATGGTGTGACTGTGTACGTGGTGTGTGTACATGTGTGGTGTGACTGTACATAGTGTATTTGTGTGTGGGGTGTGTATATCGGTGTGCATGGTGCATGTGTTTGTACGTGGTGTGTGTGTATGTGTGTGATGTGAGTACATGGTGTGTGTACATACGTGGTGTGATAGTGTGCATGGTGTGTGGTGCCGGGCCCTGGGCTAGCCACGCACTTCATCTGTGGAGCTGTGTGTGACTCTAGTGTCTGTTTGCTTTCAGGCAATGTCCGAATTTCTGACCTTGGACTGGCAGTGGAGCTGAAGGAGGGGCAGAGCAAGACCAAAGGCTATGCAGGGACCCCAGGTGAGGCCTGGGAGCAGCAGCCAGGGAGGCTCTGTGTCCATCCTCTCTGCAGGGGCCAGAGGCAGCAGTTTCCCATGGCCTGGGAGTGGAGGTTGTGGGGAGCGCTTCCTTACTCAGAGCCAATAGCACAGTCAGGCTGCACCGTGCCTGGTTGTCCCTGCGGTCACAAACCCCTCCCTACCTGAACAGTCCTCTGAGTTCCCTGACATGCTCTCTGTGGTGCCTTGTCGGGGTGGGTGGCTGGTCCTACAGACTGCAGCAGTTCTCTGTGCCTCAGCAGAGCAGGTTTATCTAGTGTACCTGATAGTGGGAGTTGTGTCACAGAACCTTGGGGTTAGGGACACATTTCAACTGTGCACACTCAGCTTTTTTTTTTGGTGGTACTCAAGTTTGAACTCAGGGCCTACACCTTGAGTCACTCACCAGCCCTTTTCAAGATAGGGTCTCATGAGCTATTTGCCCAGGCTGGGTTCGACCTGTGATCCTCCTGATCTCTGCTGGCTCACACTCAGCTTTAATAAAGCCCTCATGAGCATCCACCAACATACAGTGTGTGCACCTGTGCACAGCATGCATGTATATGTGTCTGTGTGCAATAATATCTGTGCGTGCATGAACAAGTATGCATATGTGCACTTGCATTTATGTGTGGACATGCACACACGTGTGTTTTGAAGTTGTATGTGTGTGTACACATGGGTGTCTTTGTGAGCGAGCATATGTACACGAGCATGTGTCTATGCATGTATGCACCTGTGTGTCTGTGTCTGTGTGCCTATGTGTAGGCATCTCTATATTCATGCACACATTCATGTCTTTTGAGCATGTGTGCACAAGTGTCTGGATGTGCATACATCTGCTTACAGGAGTGTCTGTGTGCACACACGCATTCCTATGCATCTCTGTATATATTTATGTTTGTGCATGTGTGTACTTGCTTATGCCTGAGTGTGTGCATGTGTCTGTGTGTGTGTGTGTGCATGTGTCTCTGTATGCATGCCCAGTTCATGTCTATGTGCACGTGTGTGTGGACACACAATGTGCACACATGTGCACACACGTGAGCTCTGCGATGTGTAGTTGTGCACGTGTGCACTGGCACACACGTGTCTGTGTGTATTGTGTGAGTGGACTCACACATGTATGTGTGACTACATAGACACATGTATTCTGCTTCCCATCCCATTCACCTCCTCTCATCCTCCCTCAGGCAGGGAAGAGGCAGTACATGCAGAGGAGAGAAGAGACCTGAGTCAGGTGAAGCGAGTGCATGCCCCAGGCCTATTGTTAGTGCTGTGTGACCCTGGATGATTTACTTAACCTCTCTGAGTCTTTGTCTCCAATGTTTTCTATGCTGGCTTATTGTGAGGCTATCCTGTGGCCTGGCACCTGCATTTTAGTCCTTCTCTCCACAGTCTGGATGGCTCTGTGTGTTCAGGCTTGTTTCTTAGGTTTTCCTTCTTCTCCTGGGCTCTTTTGGTTTTGGAGAGCACTGAAGTTGGGATTTTTGAAGACTGGCAATTTGGATTTTGTTTTGTGTCAAAGGATCCCTGGTTCTTGTGCTTCCAGCACTGTCAGAGACTGTCCTCACTGGCAGCCTGATTGAGGGGAAAGGCCTTTCAGGATGAGGGATGAGGGCTGCTTCCCCTCTGGTCCGAGGGTGGATTGGACATTGAGCTCCTCACATGGATGTAGCTCTCGTTTGGGGCTCAGTAATCAGTGTGTGATGAAGGCCCTGTGCAGACCGCACAGTGCTGGAGATCTGAGAAGATGGTTCTGGAAGCAGTTTGGCCTGGAGCCATTCCACAGCCTAGAGAAGCCTTGGCCAAACCTGCTTTTCATGAGATAGTTCAAGCCACACTGTGTCTGCAGAGGTGAATGAGGCCTTCCCTTGAATCTCCACTGTCTTCACCAAGTCCTGATCTGAAGAATTTGCTTCAAGGGTAGAAACGGACCCAGCTGTGCACTGAATGTGAGGCCTGCTGGCCACTAGAGGGCCCCATTGTCTTCCCTGTGGCCACAGAGTCACAGATGGACTCGGGACTCTGGTACTTCTCCACCCTGTGCAGCAGGATCAGGCTCTGGCTGAGACCTGAGCAAGTTGCCAGAGATGCTGGAGTCAGGATGCAAACAAGGAAGCTGGGGATCCTTCAGGATCATTCTCCCCTCTGCAGCCTCCCAGCTCAGGCTCCACCTGCAGAGCAGGAATCTGTGCCCCCTTTGCTGTTACTGTTGCTGCTGCCAATGCCTGGAAGGAGGGGTTATCACTCTTCTGTCCTCCAGCCAGGAGGGGGTGAGTCAATGACAGAAGAAGCAGTAATCCACTCACTTTCTCACCCAGTAACACTTGTGGGCACTGGCTCTGCTGCAGTCTCTGTGGGAGAACCCACCATACATGGCGCCACCATACAGGTGCCATGTCCCTGTAGGGCCTGGAGTCACAGCCAACATGTGCCCCTGTGCTTGGGGTGGGAGGCAGCTGAGGTGTCAGGTGCACCCTTCAGGAGGAGAATGTGAGGAGAAGAGCTTGGGAGAGCAGGCTATGCAGGGTTGTGTCTGCCCTGGCAGTGTCTTCTGGCAGTGTGAAGGGAAGAGCAATGCAGAGGACCAGCAGCTGGGTAGGGACCACCCAGGCTTTGTGTTTGTCCCAGTGGCATGACCGAAGAAGTAGCTGGAGAAGGCGGTTCTAAATCCCAATCCCAGACAGAGCAAAGGAGCTGCAGTAAGGAAGCCAATCATGAGCCTCACTGAGAAGGGACTCAGGAGGCATCTGGCTGTTTTGGAGTCAGGCCAGGCAGAGGAAGGTGAACCCCTGGGGTACAGAGGACAGGGGTGAGATCAGTAACAGTCTAGAACAAGTGACCACAGGTCGGCTTGTGGTGGGCCCAGCCTCTCCAGCATTCCACGGTCTGGCTTACCAAGAAAGAGCCCAGGCAAGGGAGCAGAGCTTAGCACCAATCTGGTGAAGCCCTTGCAGCAACCCTGAGCCCCAGCACATGTATCATTCCTGTTCCCCCTGAAGTCCCAGACAATGGCGAAGGGATTGCACTAACAGCAAACCCCGGCATACAGAGGAGTGGACGGGTGAGCTCTGGGGGAGTCCAAGCTCCCAGCACCAAGCGCGCCTGGAAGGGACAGGAAGGCTGCTGACCATGGGACACCTGCTGGCTAGCAGTTGCATCTCCAGGCCCGAACCTCCCTCCGAGGACCCGGCAGAAAGCAGAGGCTCATTGTCTGGAGAAGACGCGTGGGCAGCGTTGCAGGATGGGAGCAGCGTGACGGTCAGCTGTCCCAGCCCTCGGGCCGCGCGGCTCCTGGTAGGTGGAGGCCAGGCCAGGTCCGAGCTCCCCTCTGCGTATCCGACCAGCACCCCGGAAAAAGCCGGAAGGTGATGATGCAGAGGCCAGAATAAGAGAACCCAGGAAGACTGCCTGCAACACCCCTGTCTCAGCCCCAGCCCTGCTCCCGCCTCACCTCCCCGGTAGCCCAATCCTGTCCGTAGCCCCGCCCCTTCCACGGCCCTGCCCACAACCACACCCGCCCCTCCCCAGCCCCGCCCCGTCCGCGGCCCCGCCCACACCCCCGCCCCCACCAGCCCCGCCCCCGTCCGCGGCCCCGCCCACACCCCGCCCCCACCAGCCCCGCCCCGTCCGCGGCCCCGCCCACATCCCCGCCCCTCACCAGCCCCGCCCCCTATAGCTCCACCCCAGCGCACAGTCCTGCCTGTACTTGGGACAACCCCCACCCCCACCCCAAGCTTGCAGCCCTATGCCCAGAATCTGCCCCATTCCACCTTGGACAGAAGACAGGAAAATGTGAGGCGTCACTTTCTCAAAGTGAGAGGAGACATTGTGTCCATCTGTAGCCACAGAATTTGACAAAAATGAGCATCCAAACAGCTTTAGAAAATAAGAAGTATGGCAGAAATGAAAGGGAAAGAGTTGAAAGACAAACTCAAAAGAAAGTAGATCAAAGTACGAAGTGATGGAACGCAGGAGAGGCTCACAAGAAAGCTGAGGACTGGTCCAGAAAGCCCAGCATTTGAACGGTAGTCACACCAATTGTCATGACCACACTGGACTGCAGTGGGTCAGGAAGATATCTAGAGGCACAGCAGAATTTCCATTCTGAAAACACCCTCTCAGCAGAGCACAGATCCCAGAGACACCCCACGAAGAGGACACAAAAACATCCCACAAAGAGAGCTAGGGACGCTCTCTCACAAGGTTCAGGGGTCAGGTGGTAGTGGCTTTTCTCCCAAAGAAATACCATGGGGGAGAGACAATAGAAACATCTTAAAAATCCAGAGAGAAAGGAAGGGCCTAGGACTTCACCCAGACAAACCATGGGTTCAATGTCAAGGCAAAAGAAAGGAATTTCAGATAAGAAAGTCCTCAATAGTGAGCACTGCTCCCTTCCCAAGAAACCTCGACCGAAATGAAGAAGCCCTCAGGAAGGTGGAGAATCCAGGGTCAGAACAGAGAGACAGGGCTTCAGGACACAGGAGCGTGCACACTTGTCCAGACCAGAGCAGGAAAGGTTCTGGAGGACTCTGCTGAGGTGACATTGATAACATATTTACTGTGTCAAAACAGGTCAGAGATTAGTCATCATAGAACGTAGCGTCAAATTGGTGACAAACACCCAGGAAACCAAGAAAATGGGAAAAAACAAAAGAAACCCAATATAATCTGTGAAAAAAATACATTGACAAGGGGTGACATAATTGCAGCTTAGTTTTTGGGCCAGTTGGGAGTGAATTTGAGCCCAATGTTGATGGCCTGCAATGACCTGGAGGGAAAAGGTTATAAGCAGGACACTGGGGGAAATGGCCAGTAGCTTGTCCTCCAGAAGGGATACCATCAGGGAGCCCACAACTCCACAGTGTGAGTGTGTCATCTGGAGGTCCAGAATATTCAGCAAGAGAATGGCGGCGAGGGAACCAAGGTGGATGGTCAGGACAGTCCTCTGTTGTGGAGCTGTCTGGTTCTTCATGTGTGAACAGACTGGCTTTGGAGGGTTTGCCCTGAGCTGGAGGGCAGTGCAGTGACTGGGAGCTCAGATGCTGCCTGGGGAGCCGGGATTCGAGCCCCTGCTTTTACTACCTGTGTCCTGAGCGAGTTGTACCACAGAGAAGCCTCATATTCCTACTCCAGGAAAGGCTTCTCTCTCTGTGTTGAGGGCTGAATGTGATAAGTGTGTAGCTGAATGTGGCAAGATCACGAGGGGACTCAGCTGCAGCCAGGTACCAACAGGTGGATTGTGTCATGAGGGGACAAGGTCTCCTTCCTGGTGAAGGTGCAGACCTGCCTTGCCAGTGTCCCCAGGTTTCAGCTCCCCAGCACACACCCGGGTGTCCACGGACTCTTGAGGGTGCCTGGCACAAATCCTGCTTTTCTGTCCTTGCAGGGAGACAGGAGTCAGGAAGCCACAGCAGTGCCAGCCTCACCTGCCTCCCTGCATGTGTCATGCACACACCGTTTTGCTTGTCCTTGAGGTGTCAGAAAAGGGGAAGGAGACTTCACATCATGCCATGTTGGGAGACATTTTTGGTTGTCATAGCTGGGTGGTGCTATCTACTGGGTGGAGGCCGGGGATGCTGTTTTCTGTCCCCAGACATCAATGGTGTTGAAAGCCCTGGGGTGGTGGCCATCAGAGCATCCGTAACTCTGGGGCAGGGTAAGAGCTGTGTGGAGGCTGCTGAGGCTCTTCACTGCAATGTATTCCTGCTGGCAGGCTTCATGGCCCCTGAGCTCCTGCGCAGTGAAGAGTATGATTTTTCTGTGGACTACTTTGCCTTGGGGGTCACGCTGTATGAGATGATCGCAGCCAGAGGACCCTTCCGAGCACGGGGAGAGAAGGTAGGCACTGCCCAGCAGTCTCTGCAGGGATCCTCCTTGGGGCCATGGTGTGTTTGTCCCTTAGGCAGAGCTGGTGTTAGGGTTGTGCTGAGGATCAGGTGAGGACTAGGTTGGGGTTTTGCTCCTGTGTGGTGTTATGTCTCGAGGGTGACCTTCCTGGCCCACTGGAAATGTGAACAGGCCTGTTGGATCCTAAGACCTGTGGGTGGAGCTGGAGGGGTTTTACCTCAGAGTGAGCAGGTGGCAGGAGCTAGTGAATACCTCCCAACTGAGAGCTTCTACCCTCCATGTGCAGTGTTGGTTTCTCCCAGGTCTTCCAGGGCAGGAGGTGGGGGACTCACCTCACCACAGCTCTGGACAATGAGCAGTGTTCAGGACAAGAGAAGCTGGGACCATCCCAAGCCCCAGCCAAAGCAGGTCCTCAATTTCTGGGGGCTGCCAGGTCAATGCTGTTAGAGACATGGCCAGGGCTCCCACCCCTGGGATGGCCTCGGTACTCCTTGTTTCACAGTAAGCTCCTCCCCCGCCCCAGATGCCAATGCCTTGCTGCCCACCACAGGCATGGAGCTCCCCAAATGTCTGGGAGGGAGGTGGACATCCGGTGCTGTGCCCCCTTGCTCTCCTCACGTCTTATCTGTTGCATGTCCCTGAGTGTCCCAGGCTGCCCCTGGCTCTCTGGCCACCTGAACCACAAGTAAAGTGAACACGGGGAGGCGCCAGTCCCCTACTCAAGACAGTGGAGCAGAACTGGCTTCTTCTCCATAGACAAAGCTGATAGGGAGCTCGTGGGCCTGTGACTGAGGAGGGCATGTAAGGAGGTCTCCTGCACAGCCCAGTGGGAATGGCATCCACCTGTGCTGCTTTTAGATGCTGCCCTGTCCCAGTCCAAGCTGTGGCTGTGTGGAGGTGCTGGCCCTGAACTCACAATCACCCCTCTTCATGCCTGTCAGAGGGTGACAGAAGTGTTGGCTGTGACACTGGGGCTCCATGGGCACCAGAGCCAAACTGACCACACCACTCACTTACAGGGGCCTTCCTGGTCTGGACTGTCCCTCAGTAAAGCTGACCAGAAGTAGATGGGTAGAGTGGGACTGCAGAAGCAGACACACTCTGCAGCATAACTCTCACTTCTGGTTTTTCTTTTTGCGATGGAATATTCTGTAAAGGTGCCAATAACTCAGCCAGAGTTCCCTAAAAATACCCTGTGCCCAACTGTGGCGACTGGGGTTCACCTTGAGGATTTCATTTCCTTGTCTCAGGGTCTGAGTTTTTCCAATGCACCTGCCTGGGAAGGCGCACTGAGACGCTGAGGCATCTCCACCCCGGCCTGAGGGTGTGAGGCTCCAAGGCTTGGCCTGGGCTCTCAGGGGCTCCAGTGATGTGTGTGCATGCTGCCCTGCAGGTGGAGAACAAGGAGCTGAAGCAGAGGATCCTCTCTGAGCCCGTCAAGTACCCAGACAAGTTCAGCCAGGCCAGCAAGGACTTCTGTGAGGCACTGCTGGAGAAGGACCCTGAGAGACGCCTGGGCTTCCGAGATGGGTCCTGTGATGGGCTTCGGGCCCATGCCCTATTCAAAGACATCAGCTGGAGACAGCTGGAGGCTGGTATGCTTCCCTGAATGCCCTACCCTGTCCAGAGGCCATAATGTCTGCAGAGCAGGGGTGTCCACGGTACCCAGCTACTTTCTTGCTGTCCACCAAGCCCACTGTTCATCTCCAGTGTGCCCAGGACTGGGCTTTAAGGTCAGACAGGGACACATGGGGAATATATAGGCCTTGCTTAGAACCGAAGTTCCAGGACATCTGTGTCTCTCTTCCACACTCCTGAGCTCCTAAGGGGCCCAGAATCCAAGTGAGGCAAGGTCTGTCTGTCTGGGAAAAGTCACCCACCCCACGGTGTTTATCAAGTTGTAAGCACAGGATACTATGTGTGCCTGTGTGCCTGTGCACACCTGCAGATGTGCTTGCCCATGTGTACAAGGGTGCACATGTATGTGTGGGAGCCTGTGTTGGTATGCCATTTAAAGTATGCTTGTACATGTGTGTTCCTATGTATGTGTGTACCCATAGGTGTGTGCATCTGTGGGCCTATGTGTTTGTATATGTAGCTGTGTGTCTATGTGTGTGTGTCTGTCTGTGTGTCCTTGTGTGTCCTGTGCGTGTCTGTGTGTCCCCTTTGTGTCTGCATGCCCTTGTGCACGTGTCTGTGTGCCATGTGTGTGTGACCCTGTGTGTCCTGTGCATGTCTGCACATCCTTGTGTGTGTGAGTGCTCCTGCATGTGTGTCTGAGGGCCCCTGTGCATGTGTATGTGTGTCCTTGTATGTGTGTGTCTGTGTCCCTGTGTGCTTGTCTGTGTGCCCCTGTGCATGTGTCTGGGTGTCTCTGTGCCTGTGTGTGTGTGTGTGCTCCTGTGCTTGTGTATGTGTGCCCCTGTGAACGTACCCATGACAGGAAGTGCAAGACACAGCCAAGCCCTACAGGAACCTGTGGGTGGGTAATAGAGTTAGGCAGCCTTTACAACAGAACTACAATCAGTTACAGTGGGAAGGGTCTGAGGAGAGCATAGGGATGAGGGCTGAAATGTGTTCAAAAAGATTTCCCTGACTTTGGGAATCTCCTGCTCCACCCATCTGATACTTGCCCACCTGACTGTGTGGCCTGGGGCTCCTTAGGGACACTGACTTTCTTGCTAGCTGTTGAGAAGAGCAGCTTGGGCCTCTATTTCTGCAGAGTCTAAGTGGGACCTTGACTTACCGTGTGCATCTGGTTTGTGTCTTCCGTGTCTTCACAGGAATGCTGATCCCTCCGTTCATCCCGGACTCCAGGACTGTCTATGCCAAGAACATTCAGGATGTTGGTGCCTTTTCCACAGTCAAAGGCGTTGTCTTTGACAAGGCAGACACAGAATTCTTCCAAGAATTTGCCTCCGGCAACTGCCCCATTCCCTGGCAGGAGGAAATGATTGAGACGGGCATCTTTGGGGAGCTGAATGTGTGGCGTCCTGATGGGCAGATGCCAGATGACATGAAGGGGATCACTGCAGGGGCAGCGGCCCCTGCATCCAAGTCAGGAATGTGTCTGGTCTGCTAGCCAGGAGTCCTGAAAGAAGCAGGGGTCCAGGCTGGGTAAGGAAACCAAAGTGTGTGGAGCTCATAGAGACGGATACAATGTCTGACATCAGCCTGGATGGTGTGTGTAGGCAATGGTGTGGTCAAAAACCCACCATGACCCTTAACATCCCAGGGAAGACCACTTGGTGGGAGGCTTGCTCCCCGTTCCTTCAGAGGCTGGTGAACCACAGCCCACAGGTGTTCATGCACCTCTGAGAGGGCTGGAATCAGCACCCACCCCCACTGTCCTCATCTGGCCCTGGCCTCCTCAGCCACCTGCACTAGCTGCCATCTGCACTCTGAGGACTTGCACTCAGGAACGTTGAGTCCTGCAGGGAACAGGAAAGATAGAACCACCCTGGCCTTAGCTGGGAGTCCCTGTCCTCCCCCAGCCCTGCCCTCAAGGAGTGGTGGTGACATCTGCCTCAGATGGCCAGCATTCTGTCCTCAGTCAAAACCACCTATGGTGGATGCCTGAGTCCTCAGACTGTCCCTGAGCCACCAACTTCTCCCTACCTCCTGGGAAAGGTGACCTGCAACCAACAATAATGATGGAAGATTGCTGGCTGCAGCCAACACTGACCCAACAGCGCCATCTGGTTAGCACCCTGGAAGGGAACACAAGTGTCCCCTGAGCTGTGGCACAAACACCTGTCAGGAGCATGTTGATAACAAATCCCAGGCCACTGTGCTGTGGAGGGTTCCAGATGTTTCTGTAGCGGTATCTTGTGCACTGGAGAGAGATGCTGGACCCTGAAGCAGTCCCCCAGAGGGACCTTTGTCTTCTCTGAATGGCTGACACTGTGGAGCCTCAGGATGCTCTGAAAGGCCCTTGGGGCGATGACCATGCCTCCTGGACCATGATCTGAAACCCTTGGGCAGCTCCTGGCAGGCCTGTGACTGGTGAGCTTGTGCTGTCTGCAGGACAAATCACCTGTTGTCTTTCCTCTGCCGTTCCGCTCTCTAGAGCTCAAATAGTAGTTACACACTTTACTTCACCGTGTTGTGGAGCGAGAGAGAGTCCACTGCTGCGTTTCTTGGCTCATCTTAATCTGCTCTGGGTTTAAGGCCCTGGGCAGGTGAGCAGTCTAGTCCCAGGCTTCACTGGGATCCAAGGGTCTGGAAAGGGTGCATTTAAGCAGCCGCAGCTATGTCGGTAGAGACCTGGCCCACATCACTGTCTCGGCTGCCTGGTGCTCAGGGTGCTGAAGGTGGGGCTCACACAGGCCGACTGCCAGGGTCTCTCTGCCTCACCTGTGCTCGGGCTGCAGACAAAATACAGGACATCCAATTGATACTGAATTTCAGATAAACAATTAGTATTTGTCCAGTGTGTATGCCATGCAATATTTGGGACATACTTCTACTGTAATACAGTCATTGTCTATCTGAAATTCAAATGTATTAGGTGCTCCGTAGGTGTTTCTTTTTCTAAATCTGACAAGTGCGTTGCAGACAGTGAAGACCTGGGAAGTCAGCAGCTGTTCCATGCACTTGCAGAGGTGCTAGGACAAAACCATAAAGCAACTCTGCTTTGGCCGTGCTGTCTCTTTGGGTATGATTAGGAGAGGTCTTCTCTTATCCCGGCTCACACAGGGAGACATGTTTCAAGGCTCAGTCAGTGAGCACACAGGCGCTCAGTCATTCCATCCCTGGTTCTGGATCCAGCATGTGCTGGCCTCACCCATGATGCCCCCATCACTCCCCCAGGCAACTCCATTTCTGCCTGCAGAAACACTGTAATCACATCCCAGAGCAGTGACCTCAGTGTGTCTAGCCTGTGTAGTAGCACAGCTCACACAGACTGGGGTTCAACTCCCCTTGTTAGTTGGGCAGGTGGCATCTGAGTGGAAGAGGGTGAGTTAGTGGCCCTGGGCTCTGGGTGGGAGCTTCTTCAAGGGTCTTTGAGGCCGTCTGCTGTGGTGGCCTCTCGGGCACATCCCTCTGCCCTGACCCACAGATGTCCTGCCTTTCCACTCTCCCTCCTCAGCTCTAGGACTTATAGCCTCCAAGGTTGTAGACTCTATGTCCTGCCCGGACATTGGCTCCTGGTGGCTGCAACACTCCTGCTGTTTTTCCAGCAGCCAGTGTCCTGCCTTGGCTCATGGTCTCTCAGGAAGCAGATGGCAGAGGCCAGCTGCCCAGCTGTCCAGCTTCAGGAGGCTCATGCACCTCTTGGGGAGTCTGGATGGCACTTGCACCAGGCCTGTGCAAAGACCAGCTTGGGGTGCTCTGCAGAGAAGCTCTTGGTTCCAACCTTTTTATCCTGTGTGGGGAGCCGGCCACAGGGTCCCAGAAACCTGCCTGACATCCCTATGAGGCCATGAATTTGTTATTTCAGCCTCTGATATCAATCAGCTCATGCCCTGGCAGATACACAGTGAAAAGGGTTTCACTTCTGTCCGCCCGGTCAGGGGGCACGGAGCTGTGGTGAGATTGTGATCCCTTCATTTCGGTAGTAATCTAATGATTCTCAGCCCCCAGAGGCACCCCTGGGGGTGCTGCAGTCAGAAATGACTGCACTATGACTTTTGTTTAATAGAAGAAAATGCAATTTTTATTCAAGTAAAAAAGGATTTTAAAAAGCTGAAAACAAAGGGGCAGATTCTCTGGATTGTGATGTGTATTACAAGTTGCATTCTTTCCTTCAAAATTACACACTCATGTATGTACCTACAAATGCACACATGCATGCACACACCCTACTCATGTGCACACCCCCCATACACAGCTCTACACATCTGCACACAGCTCTACACACATGCACACATCTCTATACACAGGCACCCACATCTACACACACGCACACAGTCCATACACACATGCACATGTCTCTACACACATGCATGTATCTCTATGCACAGGCACACACCTCTACACACATGCAAACACTCATACACACAACTCTACGCACATGCACACCCTTCTACACACATGCACAAAGCTCTACACACCTGCACACAGCTCTACACACATGCACACCCCTTTACACACATGCACACATCTCTACACACATGCACCCACATCTACACACATGCACACAGCCCATACACATATTTACATGCCTCCACACACATGCACATATCTCTATGCACAGACACACACCTCTATACACATGCAGACACCCATACACACAAGTCTACACACATGCACACGTCCATGCACACACATCTATACACATGCACATCTCTATATACAGACACACACCTCTACACATGCACACAATTCTACACACATGCACATACCCCATACACAAGCACACACCTCTATGCACATGTACAAATTCCCCACACACATGCACACACCTCTGCACACATCTCTATATAGACACACACTTCTACACACATGAACACACCTCTACACACATCACACACCCTCACACATGCACACACTTCTACACATGCACATAGCCATACACACGGGCACACGCTGCTACACACATGTATAGATCTTATGCACACATCTCTACATAAATGCATACACTTCTGCACACAGGCACACACCCCTATACACAGGTGCACACCCGTACACGCTGGTGCACACCCCTATACACATGCATACCCTTCTGTGCAAGGCACACAACCCTAACACATCCACACACCTCTACATATGTGCAACACCCCATACACACTGCACACATCCTGTACACACATGCACACATAAACACACAACTCTGCACATGTGCACACCGCCCATACACATATGTACACACATACTGACACAACACACAGTTATATTTCTCCACATGTCAGTACTCAGTGCACCCTTACACACATACCCAAATCCCTACACACATGCACCCCTACATTCATACACATGTACACAGCCTCCTACACAGTCAGCTCTAAATGTGAGTGTACACACCATGCACACACCTTTACATGTGCCCCCAGCCTCCATGCACATGTGTACACTTATCCCTACATACGCACATGAACATAATACTTACATAATTCACATGCACATCCCTCCACCTGTCTACACACACCCCACCCCCACATGCACTCCACATCTATATGTGTGCACATGTCACCACATACATGCACAGACCCCTAAATAACATCTTGGCATGTTCCCCACACTGCTACATGCTCACTTACATATACACACATACACATGCATACACATCCTATGCACATGTACACCCCTACATACATGCCCAACATGCACCCCACATATCCCTACATGCTCACTTACAAATATGCATACATATGCACACCCCTGCAAATATCACCACAGACATGCATACACCCCTACACACATGCATGTGTGCACGAGCACAACCCCTGCATATGCATGCGTACATGAGCATACACCCCTTACACATGTGTGTGCGCACGTGCACACACCTCTACACACATGCATATTTGCATGAACACACACCTCTATACACATGCATATGTGCACAAGCACACACCCCTACACACATGCATATATGCTTGAGCACACACCTCTACACACATGCATATTTGCATGAACACACACCTCTATACACATGCATATGTGCACAAGCACACACCCCTACACACATGCATATATGCTTGAGCACACACCCCTGCACACATGCCTATTTTCATGAGCACACACCTTTACACACATGCATATTTGCATGAGCAAACACCACTACACACATGCAGATGTGCACAAGCACACAGCACGATACAATGCAGCACTCACATGCACTTGCACACACATGTGCACACACCCTACATGATTGCACACTGCGTGCACCTGCACACATGTAGTACACTCCTACACATGTGCAAATGCTTTCCTTGTCCCCTCTCTTAGCAGCAGGTTTTAAGCCTTGCTGGGCCTGCCATGTTCTCAGGTGTGGACTCCAGGCGCCTGCACTCAACACTCTGCTTTGTCCTTGAAGCAGGTCTTGGGCACCTCTTCCTGTGGCTCATGTTAGCCAGTGGGCCACAGTTTACATGTGTAGCTCCTTCCTGCATCTCCGCCCCCTCCCGATGAAGATTT